GACTAATAAATCAAAGAAATTTTGCTTGTAAGTTGCCGTGTTAGCATTAATAAGATAATAGTCGAAAAAGCTGGACTTTCATTGTGTTGCTGGATTTTGTTCGTCAACGTGGTAGCGAGGTTGCTCCGCTCCGGCTGCTGCTGCTGCTGCTGATTTTCACAAAGCGATATCGCGTACACAAAATGTTAATGAGCAATTTGAGATGGTGCGAAGCGATTTCATTATTTACGTTTTTGCATGCACACATACATACTTACATATATGCATACTTGCATTTATACTTTTTATTTTTTTAGTTGGTATTGAAGAAATATTCGCATTTTGCTTGTGTTGACCGAATAAGTTTGCATCCCATAAAGCTTAGGTGTGGTGTCTTACTCCTCTACTTCGACCATACTGATTTGCCACAGCAGCAGGGACTGACACAACACTTGGCAGCAAAAGCGACGCACTTTTAATGAGAGCGCAAACAATTTTAATTAGAATTTGCCAAATTAATTGTTTCCTGCCCAAATATCTACGCTTCTATTGGGCAAGGTTCAAAAAGGAAATCATGGTATGTTCGAAAATTAATGCAAAATATGCTGTCAAAGAATTGACAAATTTAAATGTTAAGTTTTCAGAGTGGAAATAAAAAAAAATTTGAGTTCTTAATACATCGAATGCATATTGTGTATTTCGATATTATTAAATATATTGTGGAGTATTATCAAAAACAACGGTACGCTTTAAGGGGGGGTAGGGTTTTTACTTTCGAAAAACAATTTTTTTCTCTCTTATCTTATTTTTTAACATTTCAAGAATATGTCCTTAAAATGTTTGGTCGATAGAAGCAATATTTTTAAAGTTATTGTCTTATTAATCTCCTGGCCTTTAACGCTGCAACCAATAGTTCATAAACTTTAGACGCGTTTTTCTCAAAACTACTTTTCCAAAATCCGTGTGCACTGTCATTTCAAAACTACTTGACCGATTCAGTTCAAACTTTTTACACATTTTCAACATATAAAATACCGCCTCCATATTTCAGTAAAATTTTTTTTTTTTACATTAAGGGTGTTTTCCATCCCCAAAATGGCGAAATTTTTTGTGGAAAATAACAGTTGACACTTTAAATAGCCGCCAAAAATTTTTAAATAAAAAAAAAAAAAATTTAGAGAACGTTGGTGGGAAGATTTGATCAAAATTTAACTCATTTTTCCTGGTTATTTTTTTCGGATAATTTCCAGCCGAGTTATGGTGAACGCGGCAAATTGTTTTTTTCTCAAGACGTTCAGGGGAAGCTCTGTTACCAGCTTATGCTTCAATATTCCTGCATGAAAAAATTACCATTATTGTCAGAAGTATGCTCAATAATGTACAAAAGGTCCGAATAAAATTACTCAAGCCATATTTAAGAAAAAAATTATTTTTTTTTACCTTGAAATATATAAATATATAATATTGGATGCCAAATTTAGAGAAGATACATTGTGAAATAAAAAAAGTTTTCCATACAAGAACTTAATTCCGATCGTTCAGTTTGTATGGCAAGTACATACTCGTATATGCTATAGTGGTCAGATTTCGGCCGTTCTAACAAATGAGCAGTTTCTTAGTGAGAAAAGAACAGGGACAAAATTTCAGTTAGCTTAAGAACTGAGGGATTAGTTTGTATATACACAGACAGACGGACATGGCTAAATCAACTCAGCTCATCATGCTGATCATGTAGGTATGTATATATTTTATAGGGTCTCTGACGTTTCCTTCTGGGTGTTACAAACTTCCTGGCAAACTTAAAAAATTGTTGGTAGTCTACTTTAGTGAGAACACAGTTATAGAATGTTTGTGAATTGAGGTTAGGATATTGTTGAAGTGCCAGTAGTCCATTCACGTTTAATAATCGACTAATAAATCAAAGAAATTTTGCTTGTAAGTTGCCGTGTTAGCATTAATAAGATAATAGTCGAAAAAGCTGGACTTTTCTACTTTATACTACTTTATCTCGTTGGCGACCACTGTTTTATACATATATATGTATGTATGTAGCTGGAGCAGCCTTCAACCGCTAATGACTCGCAATGCATCATAAAACTGTCACCTGCCCACTGTGCATAATAGTGGTCGCCTACAAATATATTAATACTTATTTGCCCAGAATGGGGGAAACCAAAAAGCATTCACGAGACGAGCATAAATTAAAGTGGCTAATGATTAATTACCATTGCCATTTTACCACTTTTGTGGCAAATAACTTTTGCCGCATTCGGATCGTGCGCGTAGCATTGGTCATAAAACAGCGCAGCACAGAAGCAGCTAATACCCGAACGGGTGGCAACCCAATACAAAGTTAATGCAAGCCGAATGGTAAGACGGACAATTTGATTAAAACATAAAAATGCACATAAAAGTTGTAGCTTAAATTCATATTTTTAAACGTTACAACAACAATAAAATTGGCAGCATAAAACGAAATGAAGTAGAGTGAAAGCAGAAAAATAAGTAAAAAAAAAATTAAATATGATTAAAGAAAATACAACAACGCGCGCAAACAAAAAATAATGAATAAACAACAGAAACCCATTAAGTTTGCGAAGCAGAATGTCAACTACAAATTTTACTTACTAACAAACAGCGTATTCAGCGCAAGCGATAAAGCTAAAGTAGGGTGCAGTCTCGACTTCTTTCTCTTCCATTCAACACATATTTCTTTTTCATGCACTTTATATGTGATATTCTTCGAGGACATCTGACGTTACGATCAAGGATCAGTTGCTATGTAAGTGCTTCATTGCTACGTGTATTTGCATTATATACGGATGTAGATATGTACATATGTATATAAGTGTGTTTGTCAGTGCATAGAATTTTTCATTAATGTCACAGAGCATTTTGCGCTCCTCCTCTACTTGTAATGAGTTTCCAAGAAATTGCACTTTAATTAAACGACAACAATTAGTGTACGGAATTTGACATTCAGCCGTCAAAAGGGTATGAACACAGCAGCATGTCGCATGTCGTTAATATAATGACGTGTTTGTATGACATATAATGCAAAATGTTATTAGCAATGTCTGTCTAAGCTAAAACCATTATTTACAACATTATATGGAAAATATCTAAATATTTATAGCTCAATTTGAACATAAATTAAAAGCTTAATAAATAAGCTTACTATTGCAATATAAAAATATGATATACTAAATAATGCAATAGTTTGCTGAAAACCATAACGACCAGACAAACCAATCGCTGATGCTTACTAAGATTATTCATTTATAAGCTTTATACTTGAAAAAAGAGTCCTCAAGAATGGTGTATTTACCAGCAGGATGCGGAGGTTCAAACCTGCGGCGGCAAATTTTGAAAGGCGGCAGATTTCGCTCATAAATTTTGTATTTATATTCACATAATTAAAACAAAAACAAAAAAAAACGTTATTTTCGGCTGCACCGAAACTATAGTACCCTTCATATATACAAAAAAATTCCATACAAGAACATAATTTTGATTGGTCAGCTTGTATGGCCGATCTGAATAATTTCTTCACAGATCGTAAATATACTATAATATAATATGCATAATTGAGATCTTCTTACGAAAATGTAGGTATTCGTCTCAACAACACCCTGTCGGCTTTTTAGCAAACTAACGGTTTTTATAGGAACTCCTACGTTAATAAGTTCCAAGTTAAGAAATATGTGTTTCGCTTCAATTTTCGAATGAGCAATTGATTATATTCTTAAAGGTTTTAGTAATTATGTGGTACAAAAATAAATGTTATACCTATTAAAGAAATTTATCACACAAAGGCCTTGTGACATTACTTTACTTTCGCAAAATGTTTTAGCTTCCCTTACCAAGCCAAGAAAGACTTTCAAGTTTTATATGTTTGCACAACTGTATATACTTGTACATACATCTGTGTCTATACAAATTTGTGTGTATAGGTATTGCTAATTAAAGTCTGTAACCCCTTTCATTCAACGCTTCTTCTCATTCATTAACTCATTTTATGCACAGTTCGTTAATTTTCTTATCGCTAAATTTGCAAATGTTCTGCATAAATATGACAGAACATAAGTGTGTGCGTATTTTTGAATATTTATAGCAAACAAGTATATACTTGTAGATGTAGGGTCGCTTCGGAAAACCTTATAACAGAGGAGAGAGAATAATACAGGTGCAAAAATCAATATTTATTCTTTCCATTGTTAACTCGTGCATAGCTCATTTAACATTCAATTTCTTCTATGATTTTTTTGTTTTCAATTCCAAAATATCTTCGGTTCGCATCTTACCAAAAAAAATTACATGTCAGCTTCATCAGTACTGAAAGCTTTTTAGTTATTAAATCATTTTACCCTCTTCAAGTAATAGGTATGCCAACAGCTTAATAATAATAGTCAATGAATCTAATATAACGGTAAGGACATCCCTGGTATGTATGTATGTCAAAAAGTTACCAAGTCGTTCAAGAACTGTGTAGCGAATGCTGCATGCACAGATTTAAGTGGACATTGAGAGAAATTTGACTTGCATTAATAACCAGACGTTTACAAAGACAGCGGAAAAATAAAAAAAATTGGATGAGTAATCATTTCACAATCTAAATTCCTTTTATCATTGATAGAACACTTGATCTGATTAATATATCCGATATATTCTTCAAGTATTTTGTTTCTATTTTTAAAAGTCACACAATATATGCTGGTCACAAGTCACAACTTACTGGTATCACAGGGAATTAGGCATGAAAGAGACGCTGGAATATATCCTATTCTTCTGCCCAGTATTATCTAGAACTCAATGCAGGAGTAGAATTATAAAATCGCCATTTTTAATCGTGGTGAAGTTTTAATAAATTTTGATAACTTATAAAGATTCTATAAAAATTACAAGTAAAGTAAAATATTCAAAAAGGAAATACAAATTTTGGGAACCAAAAACTTAATTATCAGTATGATAAAACAAAAAATGCAAGTAAAATTATTTTTTAACAAGATAAGATCAGTTAATGAAAATGTCATCAAAAAACGTTAATATTTGCAATCAAACTAGAAATAATTACATATCAAGTGAATGATACATTGTACAAAAATGTCTAACTCCTATTTACAATCCACTCTTCTTTTGCAATCATTCATACTATTTTCTTCTTTTTAGGCATTTAAACGACATTTCTTGTCAGCAGATTTAGAAATTTTACATTCAAGTCTTATCGAACCAAAAATATTTGAACCAAACCAAAGATGTGCTTGCGCCAATTAAGTATAACGTTTAGTCTTCATTGGTACAGAAATTTGAAAAATAAAATTGTATAAGCACATTATGCATATTAAAAATATAAAAAATAACCAAAATGAGCTTACGAAAATTGTCGAAATTGTTGAAAATTGTTAATTACGCTGAGACAACAAACTGGACGGCGTTATCAATGGCTCCTCTGTACGTTCCGATGGTGCGGGCGATCGAAACACGCACGTTGTCTCTCTGTGGCATTTGATTTGACGACGTGATATCCATGTGACAATAAGGAATATCACAAAACAGATTAGCACATAAATAGCTACTGTTGCGAGAACCTGCAAAATGATTATAGCACCAACCTTTTACATAAAAAATTGCAGTTTATTCTAAGGAATAATGCGTTTTTCGCCAAGCGTACTTACTACCACTAGGCCCTCCAATATGCCCTTCAACCAGTAAGGTATATAGCTGTTATCGGTTTTTACGCCGACCATTGGCTGTGGATTTGTAGCGCTATTATCTGGATCGACGAAATTTGATTGAGGATAAAAGTTGAATTCATCATCAAAAGTATCTGATTCGCGTTTGGCGCTTGCATGTTGCGTGTTTTGTTGCTGCTGTTGTTCTTTTCGATATTTGGCCGATTGTTTTTTCTTTTTGGATTTTTTTCCATTTTGTTTCTGTTAAGTGTTAAAGAAAATAAAAAATAAAATAATAATACGAAAGCAATGTACATAGTGTAGTCACAAATGTTTTTAATAATAAAAATTAATCAAAAAAAAAATAGTTTAATTATCACTATTGTGAAGGCCCCGGCGAGATTCGAACTCACGATCTCCTGTTTACTAGACAGGCGCTTTAACCAACTAAGCCACGGCGCCGTTATTAAATCATTCACTAAACACTTTTATATACACAAGACCACTGTGCTTAACATTAGTTATTTTTCTACTCAATAGGGTGACCAATGCACCTTTTTAAATATACATCATTTTTTTTCTAAATTTGTGTGCATACTTTGAAACATATTACAAAATGAAATAAATTAAGCACTTTAACCAATTGGCGGCATTATTATATATATGTATGAAAAACTCACCCTTTCTTGTTCTTCTTCCTCGCATTCGTCTCTGAAATCACCACTTTGTATCTTTTTTCTATCTTCTTCGGTAAAAAAGTTTTCAGGAATCAAACATTCATTGTTGTAATAATCATAGCGCTTAAAAATATTAAAACAAAATAACATTGTTTTTTAATATGTACATATACATATATGTATATTCATATGTATGGTTCAATAAATTTGAAATACCATATTTGGTTTATCACAACGTGGTACCGGATCGCAATGCTCTGTAGTTTTATTATAAAAACTGCGTTGTCCGAAATAACGTTCCTGGCAATTAACGGGTGTGCAATTATTTAAGTATTCCTTATCCCAATTCTTACAATCCTTATAGTCAGGCCCTTAAATATTTGAACAGATATCAAAGGCATGATGGAATAGAGAAATGGGCATATTTGAACTAACTTTTTCTTAGCGTATGACAATCGGGATCGAGCGTAGTAAAACGAGTATCGAAATGTATAGTATGTTTATGATGCTCCTCTATGCCACGAGCATTTTTCGATGTAACAACAATGGGACAAAATCCTACTCGATTGTACAAAGACTTTTTCGTTTCGTTTTATAATTAAATAATATTAAATATAAATATAGAAATTTAACAATCCTTACAATTGTTGGCCATATCAAAGATATAACTTCAGCAGCTCCTGCTTCAATATGCCCAAAGTTTCCACCTACTACACGCCCAGCCTACAAAAAACACATTTATTTCGTTATATACATATAATATAAATTATAATTATTTTATATCATATAATAGAATTTATCATAGTGTTAAATACATATATATTTACTTTTTTCATAATTTCATTTTCGGTTACATTTACACAACAAGTGGCATCAGAACGTATGCGAAATTCCAGCGTTTCTCTATCTTTACACGGTGAATTTACAACAGTTAAATCTATAGCAAAAAATTAAATAAATTCCTTGTGTACTTACATAGATACTTATTTTCATCACAAAATTATGTACATATATAAAAATATTGCATTAATACTATAATCTAGCAAATCGAAAGAAAATATTAAATTCATGAACAAGAATCATAACAAAACTTACCAAATATTAGTCCAATGTCGTTCGGTTTAGGTATACGTACAACAATTTTATTAATCACAATTTTGGCAAACGCCGTAGTTGTTATCAAATATATTAGCAACAAAAGATTGCCGCAATTCATAGTGCTATGTATATAGAAACGAATAAAACATATAAATAATTGAACTGTAAATAGCTTACAATCAGAGAATGTTAATGACATCATTAACATTCTCTGGCCATGTCGCATGAAAAAGTCACCTTATAGAATATATAAATGGCAACAACCTATTGTACTGAGGTATAAAATAATGCAACCCTTAAATTAATCATCTGTTTCGTTATTGTTTTTAATTTGTTGCAAATATTAGTTGTTTTTAAGTTTACGAATTTGGGACTAAAAGAACAAAACTAAATTATATTAAACTAATATGGATTCAGAATTAACATTTAGAGACTATACATTACTTAAAAATTTAAAATTTAACGATGAACGAGTATCAACTGTAACATCTCGTGAACAGGTGAGTTCCAGACAAGCTAATATTTACAAATCTGTTCAAAATTTCTATACATACATATATGTATTTTAGCAAAAGACCGAGAATTCTATAGAAAAATGTTTCAGTCGCTTTCAACAAATGCAATACCTGGATCCAAAAGTAAAGAAAATTCATCGAGAAGATCATCAACGCTATCTAGAGTCAATGCTGCGTAGGCTCCCCTTACACTATGAATGCCTTGACAGTAGTAGACCATGGAATGTTTATTGGATATTGCAAGCAGCTCATTTATTAAATTTCACCTTTGATGATGAAACACTGGAGCATGTGGTTGAATTTCTAATCAAGTAAACAGTACAAAACCACATTGCGTACAGGTTTAAAATAATTAGCAAAAGTTTAATTTTTAATAACCAGATGTCGTCATCAAAGAGGAGGATTTGCAGGTGGTCCCGGTCAATACCCGCATTTAGCTCCAACATATGCCGCAGTGAACAGTCTATGCTTAATAGGCACTTCGAGTGCGTATCGTGCAATCGATCGTGAATCTTTGATGCAGTTTTTATTCTCTGTGCGTGAACCAGATGGCTCCTTCAGGCTACATGTTGATGGCGAGACGGATGTAAGAGGTGCTTACTGCGCTATCTCATGTGCTAAACTGACTAATATGCCTGAAGAAGTTATCAAAAAATTATTTGATAAAACAAGCGATTGGATTGCCCGATGTCAGACATATGAAGGCGGTTTTGGAGGTGCGCCCGACCTGGAGGCACATGGAGGTTACACATTTTGTGGCATCGCAGCTTTGGCATTGCTAGACGAAGGTCACAAATGTGATATTGAACAACTCCTGGTAAATATCAATCTAATCTAACCCTTGCTTCTGTGTTATGTCTAAATTTCTTGCATAGAAATGGAATCTGCAGCGTCAAATGCCTTTTGAAGGCGGATTTCAGGGGCGAACAAATAAACTAGTAGATGGTTGCTATTCGTTTTGGGTTGGTGCCACAATACCAATAACTCAAGCCTTTTTATCCCAAGAAGGTAAAAATCTAGCTTCTATACAAAAAATAAATAAATAAATAAAAGGAAAAATTACATTTTACAAATTAATCATTTTCTTCTCAGGTGGATCTATTAAGCAGTCATTATTCGATACAAGTGCTTTACAAGAATATATTTTAGTTTGCTGCCAAAAAGCAAATGGTGGCTTGATTGACAAGCCGGGCAAGTACGTATTAAACATATATTCTCTTATAATAATATAATCTTGACGCGCCCTAAATTACACTAATATTAAATATAATTCAATTTCAAATCGAAATAGGCCTCAAGATCTCTATCATACCTGTTATACGTTAAGCGGCGTTTCAATTGCCCAACACTCTGAATCGTCGCTGAATCCTCAAGTGCTAGGCGATCCGGCGAATGAACTTTTACCAACGCATCCGCTGTTTAATGTTCCACCAAGGGCTGTTGCCAGATCATTAGCCCACTTTGACCTACTGAATGACAACTTCAAAGATTTAAGAACTCCTTCAAGTTGTCAGCATGATTCAGATGGAAATCAATATAAAAATGATTGTGAAAAATCATCGATTGAAAGTTACATGGATGTAGAGGGAGGTGTAAATACTACTGAGGAAGAAGAAGCTCAAATATCCTCTGTTAGCTCGTCGATATCGAATTGATGAAATATTTAATATTATTATTCTGTACATTTAATAGGAGCGTGAAAACAACATTTGTTGAAAGTGCAAATACAATTTTACCAAATCATAAAATTGTAATGTAAAATTATTTTGTGTCCGAAAAGTTATATATGATGTATGTTTCCTGAATGTGAGTGTCATAAATCTGATTCCTCACAAAAATAAAAATGTAATGTATACAAGTACATGAACTATCCGAAAAATTTGATGGGAACAATCCCATAATTTTGTCATAAATCTGATTCCTGATTATGAGTGTCATAAATCTGATTTCTCACAAAACTAAAAATGTAATGTATACAAGTACATGAACTATCCGAAAAATTTGATGGGAACAATCCCATAATAGACTTACCCTCGCTCGCAGTACGAAACTGGTCCGTTTAATAAAATATGTATGTATTCCAATGCATTGTATGAATGATATTTTTTCTAATGTCTTTAAATAAATGTCAAGTGTCTTTAAAAGAAAATTAATTGAAATGTTTCAAATAAAAGTTGTTTTAACCTTTGATATTTTCCCCAATATATCAACCATATTCAAACTTAGTACTTGATAAATCTACTTCCGCTCCCTACAACGAAAGGACTTTTTTGATTGACGATTTCTATCATTGCAAAGGTTTATGGAGGGTCTACCAACAAGAACGACATGATGTTAAAATGAAATAAAACACTCAAATTTGGTCAATATGGTTTTTTTTTGTTATGCAAATAATAAATGTCATTTATGATTTGAACAAAATGTCCACTACGGCTGCATATGCATATCTCCACCCGTTTATTCCAAATTTCGATCAGCCGATGCAGCATTTCGGCAACTTTATATATATATATATATATATATACTTTATATATATATAGTTGTTATAGGGCCTCAAACCTTTCCTTCTGGGTGTTAAAAACTTCCTAGCAAACTTAATATACCCTGTTCAGAGTATACAAATTGTTGTAGTTAATTTGGTTTATTGCTTATTCATTACTATTTTTCTTAAGTAATGTTAATAATAATTTAAATAGTAGGGCCTTTCTGAAATAAATTAATTCTCAAAATTCGATTTGAAAACTTAATATTTAAAGCAATAGGTGGCATCTCTGTTCATGCAATTTGTAGCAAAGCATTTCGCGCGTCTTCATCATTTTACTTCATTCTGTTGCGATTGCGAAAATCTATCCGAAGAAAGCAAATTAAATTTCATTTGTGAAAAGTTTGCTACTAAGTACGTTTAAGATAAAAAGGAGAAATGGGTCTTTTGGATTTATGTGAAGAATTTTTTGGAGAACGAGATCTCTATAAGTTGTTGGATTTGGAGAAAAATGCATTGCCCAGAGATATAAAAAAGGCATATTACAAGATGTCTTTGCAAGTTCATCCAGATCGTGTTGAGGATGATAAAAAGTCTGCAGCTACGGAAAAGTTCAAAGTTTTGTCCAAAGCTTATCAGGTTCTCTCCGACAAAGAGAAGCGTGGTTTATATGACGAACAAGGTGTTATTGTTGATGAGGAGGACGAAGGTAAACTAAGTTCATGGATGGATCTGTGGAGGCAAGTGTTTAGACGGGTTACTGAGGAAGATATTATTAACTACGAAAATTCTTATGTTGGTTCTGAACTGGAACGAGACGATATGAAAAAGGCTTATTTATCGAGTAAAGGCTGTATAAATAAGATAATGACTGAAGTTCCGTTTCTGCACATTAAAGATGAGCCGCGTCTACAGAAAATCATTAGAGAAATGATTGATGCCAGTGAGGTGCCGGAATACAAAATTTTCACGAATGAACCATCCCAGAAACGTCAGCGTCGTCATAAGAAATATGCCCGAGAGGCGAAGGAGGCGGAAGAGATCAAACAAAAATTAGAGTCTGGCGATTTACAAAAACAGATATTGAAGCGTCAGGCGCATCGACAGGATGATTTTAACTCATTTTTGGACAAATTGGCTGAAAAATATGCCGATGGTGACGACAGCGAAGTATATGATTTTTCAAAGAAAACCAAATCTAAGAAGAAGGCAGTCAATACTCCATCAAAAACAAATGGTGTTAAGAAGGGAAGGGTACAGAAAAGACGCACTTAGTTTTTTTTTGTGTGTTTTATGTTTAGATATGGGCTGGAGCATTAGTTTAGTATGTTGAGGGAATCAATTATTTAAATTTTTTGTTTAAAAAAAATTTGCGTTGAAATACAAATTGAATTTATTATAAATGTACGTTTATGTGTTTTCATACGAGGGTGTAATGAAAATCAGAATTGATAAAAATGTGTATCAATATAATGTAGCCGGGAAGAATTGTTTTTCTATTAAAAATCTAGAATTCGAAAGAAAAAGATCGTATATTTTATATGATTTTTAACATATTTGTTTGTTTGCAGAATTTAATATTAATAATAATGATTTTTATAATTGTTTCAGTTATATTATTAAATTGTTAAATGTATAAAAGTATATACCGAACATGAATTGGAGAATGTGATGTGAAGAAAAATGCAGAAAATGTTTCGCTTAAGTTGTCACACTCGTATCGTGAGAACGCAATGAGTGGTAAAAGAGTCCTTGTCTGAACCCCGTTACATAAACCTTCGATCTACTTTCATTTATGACGTCATGGACGGTTGTCTGTCAAAAACATTCCAACAGTAATAGTATGTATGCTTTTACTCTAATGTCTTATATACAAATTAGCTTTCAAAATACGTTATCTGATATAAAAAAAATAATACGTTTATTATTTTATATATTAAGTAACTTCGACGGAAAAAGCATTTTGGGAATTATTTTTGTACGTTAAGGGCTTAAAACATTTTTTCCAATTTGATCCTTATGTTAAATTCCCTTTGATATAAATAGTTGGCAACCTAATCAGCTGCTTTTACATTTTTATTCATACCTTTTTGCCCAATTTTTTCTGTCTTTATTTTTGCTGTTAAAAGCAAAATAAACATTTGTGTAAACTTGACAAATTACAAATATTTTAAAATGGAGCATAAAATAATATTGAAATGCCGTACTTGCTTAGAGGACAACGAAGAGGATAACATGTTTGAATTATTTATAGATAACGATATACGCGTTAACGGGCGGCAAAAAAAATTGAAGCTTAGTAAAAAAATTGAGTATTGTTGTGGTGTGCGAGTAAGTGTTTGTGGAATTTTTATAACATGTAAACCTAAATTTTGAATATTTTAGATTAGAGAATCAACCGATATGCCATCCAAGGTTTGTTGGAAGTGTTTCGAAATGACGAGAATATGGTATAACTTTCGACAAATGTGCATGAATTCACAACTTTACTTGGAGAGTTTGTGTGAAGATCGAATGCGTCCAGAAGGCTCTGATGATGCGGAATTTTTAGGATATCTAATGGAAGAATTGCAAGTACACCGTGATAGAGTACATGGTTCTTCCGACAGCTTAGAATCAGATACCGACGATGATGAAGATAATGATGACCTTGGTTTATTAGTAGATGAAGACGATGACGGAGACTTTATAGAATCAGAGAATAATTTAGATCGCAGCATTAAATTAGAGACAGAACAATTGGAAGAGAAAAATTTCACTCAGACTGCAGATTGTAAAGAAACCAACAATACAGGAGTTGAGGCAGCCCATGAAAATGACCAAAAAAGCACGAAATCACAAAAAATTCAAAACACTATCAAGTTTTCTAATAAACGGGATGTTAGTAGAAGACGTATTTGTCGTCCACCAAGTCCAACATCGTATATGTGTTACATTTGTGGCAACGTTTACAACAAAAAAGCTACCTTTGCGTATCATATGTCACTGCACAACAATGTCAAACCACATGAATGCGAGTATGTTCACAAAAATTAAATTGTATGTTAATTATAACATTTCCCGTTCTATTAGGCTCTGTGGTAAATCGTTTCGCCAAATATGTGAATTGAAGAATCACATGCGACGACATACAGGTGAAAAACCTTACAAATGTTCATACTGTGATCGCCACTTCATTGATCGAAGCGAGAAACACCGACATGAGCGGTAATAATACCAGTACTATTATGAAAATGTATTTTATTGTAGAAAGTGTAAATTTACAGAGTACATACAAATACGCGACCATATATATGTAATGTTTGTGGTAAAAGTTTTACATATTCCGCCATACTGAAGAACCACTCAAAACTACACACAGGTAAAAAAGATTTCAAGTAAGTCAATTCGTAAGCTATACGTTCTTACTTAATTATTCCATTTGTTTATATTATATTTACTTCTATTTTGCAGTTGCATGGTCTGTCAGAAAGCATTTACTCTTCAGCATCAACTAAAAGCACATTTACAAACTATGACCCATAGACTGAAGGAAGCGCATTACGTATCTGAGGGATATGAGGTTGTTTACGAGTAGATATGCTTTGGTTAATGCATCGAGAAATGTATTCACATTGTTTTAAATACATAATATAGTTCGGAAAATAAAAGGCAGATTTCTTTTATAAATTGTATATGAAAATATTTAAACGAACTATATGTACAAATAGATAAGTACATACATATGTTGGCATTGACGTGGACAGTAATAATTATTTTCATATCATGGATTTATTTATGCAAAAAGTGCATAAAAAATTAATTAGACATATTAAATGCTCAGCACATGGAAACAATATCCTACGTTGATACACGCAAATTGATTCATATGTGCAGAATTCTATTTTAGATTTGAAAAATATTTTCGTTTACAAAAAAAATAGTTTTTATATTAATAGGTTTCGTTTAACATATCAATAAAAAGAATGTATTAGCAGCTATTTTTTTTAAGCAAAACAATAGCATAAAACTCAATCAATGAGTTAGTTGTTGGAAATACTGTGACAAAACAATAGCAATAATAAAACGGTTTGAAATAAGCTATAGGTAATAACTTTATTTAGTTATAATTCCCTAGCTCATTAGCTGTTACAATGTTTTTATGTTGGTTGGTGAGCAGGTGAGATTTTAACTGATGGGGCAGTTTGAATGATTTCTCGCACGGCTCACATCTAAAAATAAAAAGTAATTATATAGACCAAAAACACGATTAGAAAATTGTGTTACAAACTCTAAATTATAGTTTATAGTTGTACTCACTTGAAAGGCTTTTCATTCGTGTGCACTTTTTCGTGCGTGCGAAGCGTAGTCGATAAAGCAAATGATTTGCCACAAATGTTGCATTGGAAAGGTTTCTCATTCGTATGCACCCTGCAAATTCATAGAAAAAACTTTTTGTTTATACACTCGGACATTATCCTTGCAGAAGCGAATAATACAAACCGTTCGTGTTTTACATGCGTACTTCGATCCGTAAATCTTCGTAAGCAATATTTACATTCGTATGGTTTTTCTCCTGTGTGAATACGCATATGCGCCGTTAGATTACACGCCGCTGTAAAGCGTTTGAAACATAGCCTATAAAATAGTAATAATAATAGTCAAAAAATTATAATTTATATTTTATTTCTTCAACTTACTCGCACTCAAAATTTTTTTCCTTGCGGTGTATTCTCATGTGATAATTTCTAAGGCTTCGGCTGGTGAAGTGATTACCACAAACGTCACAGGAAAAAAAATACGAATCATTCCCTTTTTTGCGTATATGAGGTGAAGCTCGATCTGTGATTTTAATTGTAGTTGAGCTGGGCCGTTTTGTTAATTGTTCCTCATTTAATTCTAGTTCGTGCTGTTGCACCGATTCATTATCGATTTCATCGATTAGATACTCTTCTATCTGTACCACAGACCTCGGTGGTTCCGAGTCATCATATTCAGGTTCTTCGTCTTCTTCACTAACATCTATTTCTGCGTAATTATCTATTAGCTGAATTCCGGCATCTGCATTCGCATCTAGTTCTACATCTTCAATTTGAGAATTCGACAACTCCTCTGTTTTAACGACGGGTTCTTCGATTAAGTAGTATAACTCCTCTTCGGCCTGTAGTTTTGTTTCTGCTTCGTGTGTAGGTGAATTGCTAGATGACTTTAACTTATCTATTCTAATTTCGGTTTCCACTGAGTTATCAATTTCATCTTCTTTGTTATCATTATTGGAATTGTAATCATTATTCTCATCGATTATATCCTCATCGCCGATTTTATTGTCATCATCATAATCCAAGGCATCCACGCTACTTTCGGTATTGTATTTAGGTAATCGTAAAGGGTTTTGCTTTGAATTTGTTTTACTGTCATTAAAGTCCGCTAGTTCATCTTCCTCATAATCTTGTGCTGTGAGCAGCTGTTCTGAACAATTTTGTTCTTTTTGTGTCTTACTCAGTTTTCTGTTTGATCTTTGTAAATGTCTATGCTTATAATTTGTTTTCCTATTTTCATAAATACCATCCATTTCAGATTCTTCATCGTCTGGACCTATAAACTTCTGCGTTGTAATGGTTTCGTTATGTATCTTATTAATATTTCTGTCAGCCGAGTTCATATCAATATTGTTGCTATTATTTTTTTTATTATCATTGCTATCATCATACCTCGTGATATGCGTAGCACTTTCCTTTCTATGATATTCCTGCTTTTTTAAGACAACCGACGTACTAGGAATAGTACTTGTAAAATGGGTGTTAGTATTGTCTCTACTATCACCAATATTTTCGGATAATGTAAACGGGCTCGGTAGAATTTCCTCCTTAGTATCAAAATATTCCTCTGTTTCTGGATCCCGTTGCTCATTTAATGAAATGAATTCTACATCCTCGTGAAATATTTCTTCTAGTAATTCCACTGAACGCTCTCTTTGTTTATCCATTTTTAACATGGATGTTGCTGATTTAGTCTTTTGAATGACTGACTGCAAGTACTCTTCCGAATTTCGACAGGTTGTTCTAAAGTGGTATGCATATTTCAGTAGAAGTAAGCATTTACGACAAATCTTGTCTGGCAGGTTGTCACTTCTTTCCATCTGTAAAAAGTTTTTATAGGATTTTTTTATAGAACACAATGATATAAAAAGATTTTTTCACAAACCTGCACACTAGTAATATCAGAAATTTGTTTGACTATTTTAGAATCAATCAAAATATATTTTGCACCATGATTTTGCCTTTCCTCTGCCAAACAAACGCGGCAAATGTTCCATTTTATGCTGATCTCCATGTTTGGCATCCAGATGTATCTTCCTCTTTTCCCGCCTGAAGTTTATTTATATTAAATTAGATTCACACCGATCAACTAAAATTTTGTTTATATTCTTATAGAAGTGAAAATTACACAAATCAAATAACAAAATAAATTCACGCACCAAAACTAAAAATTATGAAAGCTGAACTGTCAAAAGTAGTTAGAGTTGTAAAGATACATAATTATAATTGGTATCAAAAGTAACTCGCTACTTTAAATAACGATTTTAAATAGAAAACCATTTTTAATGGTATTAGATAAAACCACATATAAAAATTGTCTACATTTTACAAAACAATTTTTTATTAATCAACTCTTTTTTAAAGTGTTTGATTTATTTTATATTAAACGGTTTTTTTTATTATATTATTAAAACATTTCACCTGACTTACACTGTCTATAAAATGGCGTTGACTTTGACATTTCTTGCTGTCACAACATTTCGCGACACACATACAAAAAAAGATAACAATACGCGTATTATGCTATCGATCAAGTAAAATATTTATGTGATTTCGTGTTATTAACTGAATATAAAACAAAATCTAGAGAGTAAAAAAAATATTTTCATAATGCATGTTTACGATTTATGTCGCATTTGTCTAACGGAGGACATAAATACAAGCAAAATGCAGCCTCTGTTTGAAACGGAAGATGATACATGTAGCGAGATTGTGCAGCGAATAGAAGTTTGCGGTGGAATAGTCGTAAGAATTATGCTTAATTACCTTGTATTATTACACGACAATATATAAATTATGGTGTTCTTTGATACCAACAGTTGAAACCACATGAAGAGTTTCCGAAAATGATTTGCGTGCAGTGCTTAGAAAAGTTAAATGTGTCATTTAAATTCCGTTCCATGTGTCAAGCGAGCGAACACGCACTTTTAGACGCTATAGTAAAGGTAATAGAGGAATATGATAAATTAATTCATTATTGTAAGTTTTGTGACATTTTTCAGTCGGAAATGAAGACAGAACCATTAGACTATGAGGGCGCTCAAATCATATCGAAACATGAAGAAGATAATGAGGACGAAATGTTCTTTGATATGCATACAGAATTTATTGATGCACAGGAGGTACATTTGGAAGATATTACTGAGACCGTTGAAGAAGAAGTGCTTGAATCTGATATGGAACCCAATACTGAAAGTGCAGAAGAGTTTATTGAATATACGGACAGTGAATATTTCGAAGAAGAATTGCCTAAATCCGTAATTAAGAAGACTGTTACGCCCACATTTATACAAAGGCAGCCAGTAACTAGCGAAAATTCGGTACGTAAACGAGGACGACCAAAATCAAAACCAGAAGGGATGTCATTAAAATCAGAAATACATAGTGGAAAGAAATCGAATCGAGGCAGAAAGAAGAAGGAAGAGCCAGAAATTGCAAGTATAATGTGTGAAATATGCGGGAACATATATTCGAAACGTAATTTGTTAAAAATGCATATGAGGCGTCATATGGCCGAAAAGCCTTTCGAATGCGAGTAAGTGAAGTACATTGATATTTAATACATCACAAAGAATACATTTTTTTACTTGCATATTTTGTTATAGAATATGTGGCAAAACTTTTGCATGCCCTTCGGAAATCGGACGTCATATGCGTGTGCACACTGGAGAAAAACCTTACATTTGTAAATATTGTGGTCGAACCTTTGCTGATCGGAGTACAAATATAAAACACGAAAGGTTTGTTTCAAAGATTAATTAATAATGCTAAGTTGGAATCTACATATATCTTTTAAATAGAATACATACAAATGAACGACCGTTCACTTGTCAAACATGCGGTAAATCGTTCACTTATTCTAATGTGCTGAAAAATCATATGTTAACTCACACCGGCGAAAAACCATTCCCGTAAGTGTCAATTTACTAAAAATATTACTATAAAACAAACAATTATTGAATTTCGTTGTATCTACTATATACAGTTGTATACCGTGTAATAAGACGTTCTCACGTAAACATCAATTGGATCAACATATTGCAACTATAACACATCAGCAAACAGTCAGAAATCTTGCTACAACGGACGTGAAAGTGCAACATATGCTACAAGATGAGCCTGATCATCATGTTTCCAACATAAACCACCATCAAACAATTCACACGAATATCAAAGTGGAACATTTGCTACAACAAATTGATCCTAATCAGCATATTGGCACTATGACACAACACCAAGCCGACAGAAATCTTTCTGTTACCCATATGATAGAGGAAGAAATTGACCAAACCTGTGAAAGGCATATTGAAGAGGTGGATGAGGATGCTGAACAACAAGATAGCGATGTATACATTAATACTGAATAATTTAATTTGGATTCGATATGCATACATTTGTATATTTCTTTACACTTGAATATCAATATATACATAACTAAAAGGTACACTTAAGCAACTATATATCTAGTATGTAAATTATATAAGTAGCGGTAATGATCTACTTGCCTACGAAATTATTTTATAGTTAATGAAATGCGCTCTATAACCGCAATTCGTTAAATAAATAACAGAATTAAAAAACAATTAGTTTAATAGCTCTTAAAAGTTATATTTTCTCACGCAGCACTGTCTAAACTACATTCAGACCTTACAAACTAAATGAGCGAATTCGCTTCATTTTTAAGTGTTCAATGATAGCTTTGTTAATGAAAAGCGTCTCACTCTTTGAATTGTTTGTTGTTGGCGCTCAACGTTTTGTTTATGGATCAGCGAACGCGTATGTACTATAAGGTGCGTTTGTCGTTGGAAAGATTTGTTGCAAAGCGTACATCTACCATATAAAAAAAAAATTTAATTAATTTTTCTTTTTGTAACAATATAAATACTTGAAGGAGCGTTCTCCAGTGTGCACAAGCATGTGATTCTTTAAAACATATGATGTTGTGAACGCTTTACCACATTGTGGGCACCCAAAAGGACGTTCGTTTGTATGTGTACTAAAACGTAATAGTATATAAATGCAGTGAGATAAATGGGTAAGTTATTTGCAAGGAATTACCGTTCATGCTTAATTCTGGTGCTATAGTCCGTGAAACGACGACCGCAATACTGACAAGGGAATGGACGTTCACCGGTGTGTCGGCGCATATGTCGCTTAAGTTCGCCTTCGGTAAAAAATTTATTTGGGCAAACTCTGCAAGTAAAAAATCAATTGTAATAAATATGCTTACTCTATCAAACTTCTATAACAAACTCACTCGCATTGTAGAGGCTTTACTCCAGCGTGTCGTTTGATATGTGAATAAAAATGGCTACGATACTTAAAATTATTACCACATTGATCACATATGTATGTTCGTAGTTTATTCTGCTTTTCAACTTTAGCTTTCGTCTTCTGATTATCATCAACCTGTGGATCTTCTCCACTGTGGTCTGGCTTTACTGGCTGAGAGATAGTTTCCTCATGATCACTATCTTTTTCCACGTTTACTTCCAATATAGCTCTGGTTTTATTTCTCGGCAACAGTTTGTGGGTGGTATTTTTCAATGACCGACTTTCCAACTCTACTTGGGCATCATCATGCACCATTTCACCTTCGTTAAGCTGTTCGAAATCACATTCTATTTCTACTGCAACTTGTAAATTAGTTATATCCGAATGTGTATTAAAGTCCAAATCTGCTGTTTCAATTTCCTTAGTATATGGCAAAAATTCAACCTTCACTGAAGTAGATTCCTTTTCTATGGAGTTAGCAATTTGCTTTGAAAATTTAACCTTTCCTGAAGTAGAATCCTTATCTATGGGGTAATCAATTTGCTTCTGGCTATGGCTCTGGTCGAAATGACGCTTGTATTCTGAACTGGAAAAATACGCCTGCGCTGATATGCATCGATTACGAAATTCATAAGCCCGTTCCAATTCTTTTTCGCAATCTGAACACATTTCGGATGGTAAATTACTGAGATTTTTTAACTGTAAAGTACATAAGCAAAAACTTATTGGGAAGATTCTCATATATATTTTAGTACCTGGATGTTAGTAAGTTGGAATATCCTTCGCAGTTCCGATTTTCTACTTCTGTCAAATAGCGTTGTCGTGGTTTTGTTTTCACAGGACGCCGCACAAAGCCTGCATAGTTTTAAATCCTGGCGCATTTTGAAACCCTTATTGTTTATTTATTTATTTTTTATCTACTAATAATTTAAATACCATACAATCCGTATTTGTTGATAACCAAAATGTAAATAAAGCAAGATTATTTATATTTGTAGTGTTGCCAACATCCTGAATATAATATAAAAAAACAATCAAAATTAATAAAAAATGGTTAGTAAAATCTTAATATTTTATGCTTTTAACTTGTTAATGTAATTTTACACTTGTCATTTACAAGATTTTATTTCTTAAGTGCCTTATATATGAAAATATTAAGTAGAAACCCTCATATCAATCAGTTCTAAAACACAGAATGGCAAGCCCTTTAACGAAGCAACACTTGAAACATTGTGTAAAAGTTATGCACATTATAATTCAAATAAATATCATAAATACCATTTGGGATGAGTATACGGCCCTTAAACTGTTTATTTAACGTTTTGGCTGCTAATTCTCGATATTGTCGAAACTACAGCTACAAAGCAGTTCGTCGACCGGATACTGCAGTATTATCCCGCAAATTAACAGCGCCACAGGTGGAGGCAAAACCAGATGAGCCTCAAGCACCAAATGATTTAACAAAGCACTTGAGAGCCAAAATATTGGCAACAGGACCGATTACAGTAGCAGAGTATATGCGCGAAGTGCTAACCAATCCACTAAGTGGGTATTACATGAATCGGGATGTTTTCGGGCGCGAAGGAGACTTTATCACATCACCGGAAATTTGCCAAATTTTCGGCGAGGTATACCTCATTCACATATATGTATACAATTGATGCACGTTTTAACAATTTGTATTTTGTAACAGCTGGTGGCTATTTGGGTAGTAAGTGAGTGGCGGAAACTGGGTAGTCCAACACCTTTTCAAGTTATTGAGCTTGGGCCTGGTCGGGGCACATTGGCACGCGATGTACTAAAAGTCTTGACACAATTTAAACTCGCTGGACAATTTTCTATGCATATGGTGGAGATAAGTCCCTATTTAAGTAAAGTGCAAGCTCAACGTCTTTGTTTCAGCAGCGAGATTGTAAACGACGAAAACTCTCCTCACTACTTGACGGGTAAAACAGCAACTGGTACAAAAGTATTCTGGCACAAGCGATTGGAGGATGTCCCAAACGCATTCTCCATAGTACTGGCACATGAATTCTTCGATGCTTTGCCAGTGCATAAGCTGCAACGAGCTGAAAAATATTGGAAGGAAGTCTTAATTGACGTCAATGAAAATAATGGCAACGATGTTGATGATAAACTACAGTTTCGTTATGTCATCTCAAAATCACAGACCCCAGTTTCACATCTGTTTACTTCAATTACTGGAGAGACACGCGATTGCCTTGAGTATTCATTAGACACAGATCGCATCATTAATATCATAGCGAATAGGTTTGAGAGTGAGGGTGGAATTGGCTTGATAATGGATTATGGTCATTTTGGCGAAAAAGGAGATACCTTCAGAGTAATAAAAACGCATGTTGTTTTAAAATACGATAATTTATATAACCTAATAATCTAGGCTTTTAAAAGTCATCAACTACATGAACCACTACTTGCACCGGGCACAGCGGATCTTACGGCGGATGTAGACTTTAGACAAATTAAACGCGTTGCAGAAGAAAATGGCAAAACACTTTGTTTCGGTCCTGTTGAGCAAGGCAGCTTCTTAAAAAAAATGGAAGGCGAGACTCGTCTTGAGGTAATAAAACCTTAATGTAGCCATTAGCGTTAAATAAATTCTTTATGTTTCTTGTACTCAATGCCGAAATGTATCTTCCACAGCAATTGCTTTCAAATGCTTTGCCTGAAAATCGTGACGCCATTAGAAGTGGTTATAAAATGTTGACAGATCCTGAACAAATGGGAACACGTTTTAAATTTTTTTCGATATTTCCAGCCGTATTGAAAGAACACCTTAAAAAGTTTCCAATCAGTGGCTTTTATTAATATGTAAACAATTCTATTCAAGGTTTGTTAAAATAATAGGTACATTTAATAATTTATTTAACTTTGTTTTTTGTTACAAATGTTGATACTGTTAACAATATATGTTTTTGGTTACACGCACACACATCTTGTACAGGGTGCAAATGTAAGATTTTATTTTTTTTGGAATGCGTTATTAATCGTCTGCATCTCGACTGGTGTTAACTGCAGTACAGCACTTATGGCATTCAACATATGCCGCTTGCCATCTGGATCTCGCGTTACAATATAACTAATGATCACGTTCTTCAAATATTCAAGATTCGCCCCTTCCCGCGTTTTACAGCGCTCCAGTCTAAAAAAATATATTATATAAAAAATTTTAATTGTTAAAATGTTTAATTCCCATTCGCAATGGTATATTGACCTGTCGACCTGCTCCTCAAGTAACGCTATCTTATCGCAGAGATCCTCTTGTGCGTTCACCTTCTCCTGTATAGCCTTACGCAAACTTGATTCAGCAGCGTATTTAGCTTTTCGCAATGCGGCTATTTCGATATCTTTCCGAGCTATCTCATTGGCATAGTGCAGCATATGACAGTTTTCACCGACTGAAAGCTTTTTCGATTTAATTGGAACCATTGTGCCCAATTGTGTGTTGCCACTCCCTGCTCCAACTCCATCATTACTATCAGCATCGGATGCTGACGTCGGGTTCTCAGCATGGGTGTCAACTGTCGACGGTAATGTTACATTATGAAAAATTTCAAAAGATGTCTGCAATGTTTTTATTTCTTGTTCCTTTTCGTCGAGCAGTTGCAGGGATCGTTGCCTTTGCTTTTGTAATTGCTGTTCCAAATCAACAACTTTACAACGTGTCTCATTCTCCAACTCACTTAATTTAGTTTTCCATTTAGCACGTTCTTCTTTTATAGCGTTTCTCATTTTTTCCGCCTGATTTTTTAGATCTAATTCTTGCTCATCAATATTGCGATTTAGCACTTTGACTTTTTCCTGCAAAGTAGATATATGCGTTCTTTGGCCATGTGAACGTTCTTGTTGTTGTGAAAGTTCGGCCTTACAAGTGTCGTACTGTTGTTGTAAAATAGCCAATTCCTCGTGACATTGTGTATGATCAGCGCTGACTGAAAATAATTTGTTAATATCGACAGGGTTTGTACTACGTGAATTTTCAGCCAATAACAACTTTTTCAGATGTATAATTTCATCAACTATAATTGAAATATCATAGTTTATATTACTTCTCCTACGGCGCCGATGATCCACATCGGAAGGGTTTAGCTCGTTTGACAAACTCGATTGTGAATCAGAACTTCGTTCTAATTCCTGCAGCTTTTTTCGTAGCACATGAATACTTTCTTGGTCCTGTTGGCGCAGTCGATCATAATTTCCCACAGTTGTACTTAGCTCAGCTAAACGAGCCTCTAAATTGGCGACGCGATCTTCGTGTAAAGCTGCCTGGTGTCTACTTTGCTCTTCCGCTTGCAGCACACGTCGCTGTTCATTCTTTATTGCAACTGCGTGTTGTTCTTTAAGTTGTTGCATTTGTTGTTGGACTTGCTTTAATATAATCATATTATCTGTCGGGTCAACGGCATCTTTCGTGGAATTCTGCATGCTATTGCCTCCCAATTTCATTTCTCTCAATTGTGCTTTGCTCTCTTTTAGTTGTGTTTGTAATTCGCGTATTCGGGTATTTTCTGTTTCATTATTGGCAAATTGTGTTTTGAAATTGTTTAATTGCATTTCAATATTTTCCTTAAGATGTCTTTCATCAGCATAAAGCTTTTGTAACTCTCGTATCATAATCATCTGATTATTTGTTTCTTTTTCCCGCTCCTGACATTCTATTATCCACTTTGCCTTTATTTCTTCAAGGTGAGCTTTAGCTTTAACTTCATTTTCTTTAATTGTCTTCTTTAATTCGACGATGCAATCGTCCTTTTGTGTCAGTTGGCCTCGTAATTGTTTTTTATCTGCCTGAAAGGATGCTTCCATCCGTGACTTCTCTGCGGATAAGGTAGCTAGTGAATTCATCAATGTCATGATCTGTGATTGCAATTGCTGTTTATCATCTATCACACAGCTTAAAGCATCAGCGGGTGCTATAGCTGCGTCGACAACCTTTTTAGCATCGACGGCATCTGTAATGCTTCTTGTGGGGACATCTGACAATGATTTTTCGTTGTTTGCATCTTTCGAAGCTGTTAGTGCAGCCAAGCTCGATTCTAGAGCTTCCTTTTCTTTTAACAATCCCTTATATGCGGTGACCACATCTATTGAAATTGAGAAATTATAAAATTTTTTGCATATTTTCTATTGTATCATAGTCACCTTTCAAGCGCTTTTCGTATCTAATTAGCTGCTCCTTTTGTGAAGATACCAAAGTTTCTAATTCTCGTTTGTTACGATCCATTATGTGGAAAAAATTTCAAAATATCAAATAATTTCCATCCTAAATCGTTTACGTCGACAGAAAACAGCTGATGATCATGATTTTGTTTATTTTTTTCGTCTTCAATAATAAAAACGGTGTTGCCATTTTAATACAAATGTATCGGGATTTTCAATAGGGATAATATGATTTCTAAGTGTCGTTTCGGCCTTTTTGATCTCACTTTCATGTTGTTGTTGTTATAACGATTATCTAATCCCCGTTTGGGTGATAAATTCTAGATTCGTTGTCGTCGAGGTCATCTAACGGAAGGCCCAGGAAACGAGCTGTTTCGACGGGGTCGGACCATAGGGAAAGGGGTGTTAGATGAGTGGGGTTTGTAGGGCATGCAAAGAGGTGGTTAGTGTCATGCGGAGACTCATTGCATGCAGGACATGTGTTTAGTATGTCGGGGTCTATTCTGGATAGGTAGGAGTTTAACCTGCTACAGTATCCAGAACGAAGTTGCGCGAGGGTCACTCTAGATTCGCGAGGCAACTCGAGCTCTGTGTCTGCAATGGGTGGTGGTTTGACTCGTATTACGCCATTCACGAGAGGGAGTCGGTGAAGGTGTTAATGGCACCATTGTGAATGGCGGCCAGTGCCTGTCTGCCTGCCTAGACCCGACTGTCGTGGGAACGGCTACAAATTACTCATGAACAACCATTACATTTACCTAAATTGACAGTTTGGTGTGGTTAAGAAGCTGGTGACACCGTTACTGTTAAAGGGAAGCGGTATAGATCGATGATAACCAACTCCGTTTCCATAAAAAGTAAAATGTTTGGTTACATCCGAACTTAGCCCTCCCTTACTTGTTTTTTATTTACTTTCTGTCGTAGATACCTAAGTATGAATGAACTTCAAATAAAATACTTCACACTTTGTTATTTGCTATTTACCGATCCAAATAGGGTTTGATCGCCTTATTTTTTCTTGGTACAACAAAACACGTTAAATTTATTGGAAGTATACTCCTATGTCTTTAAAAACAACTAATTTTTTTACCTTTTTATTCTTAACTATTTTTAATTTAAAAAAATTCATTATCCGTCCGCTTCATCTTCAGCTTGCATTTGTGCTATCAGCCTTTTGCGTTCCTCAGCTTGTCGAAGTTTGCGCATAACCAAATCTTCGTAATCAAGAGAAGACCCGATATGTCCATCAGCTGCTTTTGGAACAGGTGGCGTTACCCATTCAAGATGTAGAGGATTCGCTAGACGACCCTTTTCATAAGCCAATGCTAATTCGGCAGCTTCGAGTGTCTTAAACTCAACAAGTGCACTGCCCTTTTTCTTTGACATCACCAACGCGACAACTTCTCCATATTTCTTTAGAAAATTTTGTAAAATCTCTGATGTGTATCCACCGTTGTCGTTATCTTTTTTATCCGACTTCCATTTGATTTTAATTCTATGCGCAGATGAATCAAACGATTTTTCGACCTGTGCCTGCTGGTTTTCGGCAATCGTACGCAGCAATTGTTCTCGCATTAAACGTTGTTCCTCTTGCAATAGTTTAGAACCTTGACGACGCAATCGCTCTATTTGGTCTTGTAGCACTTCTTCATCACTTTTGGACACTGTGGCATATGGTTGAGTACTCTGCAATTTGTGTAGTGCATCTCGTTCGCGCTGTTCCAAATCAGCTTTCAGTTTTTGTCGTTTACTATCCAACTGCTTATTCCGTAAATCGGCTGCTTTTTTCGCTTTTAACACTTTGTCATAAGCAGCACGGGCCGACGCATCAGTGAGTATTTCCAAGGCTTTTGATAACTCATGGAAAAGTTCTGCCGCTTTGGGATTGTCCGGATTTTTGTCAGGATGACATTCAAGTGCTTTTTTGCGGTAAGCTTTTCGTATATCACCTTGCTCAGCTTCAAGATCAATCCCAAGGAGTTCGTAAAGGTTTGTATCACCAAATTTAAGAGCAGACATATTTTTCAAATGTATAAGAGACTTTTTCAATTCTGTTTTGATTACTAATTTCTTTGCTTTAAAAGTTTTTAAAATTACTTCATAGAGACTTGTTCGATTTAAAACGTTTATCAAATTTTGCATGTGCAACACTGAACTGTCATTCTTGTCAAAACGAACAGTGCCAATAGCATCTGACAGCAAATTCGTCAACATGCTTTTGCTATTGTTATTGCAGTCTTTAGCAACGTGAATTTTAGTAATAATTACTAATACTTTTTATACAATTTATTATGTGAAAACAATAATATAAGATGAGTGTTTATCACGATGAGGTCGAAATCGAAGACATGGAATATGACGAAGAAGAAGAAGTTTATTATTACCCATGTCCGTGTGGTGATCGATTTCAGATAACCAAGGTAATTGTTAAAATATTTTGGGGAATATTGAGAATAGTAAATATTTCTGTATTTTTAAGGAAGAACTTATGGAGGGCGAAGAAGTGGCCACTTGCCCGAGTTGTTCACTCATTATTAAAGTAATATATGATGCGGTAAGAGGCTTGATACAGTGTACATAAAACAATTTAATGATGAGTAATACTAAAATTTATTTAAATATTAATAGACTATGTTTAAAGCAGAGGAAGATGAAGAGACCGTGCTCAATGATAAACTGAAAGATATGACGTTGGAAAAGCACTGAGAACTGAGATACGAAAAATATCAATTTCTTTTGTAAAAAGATTTTTATATTTCTGTAATATATTTTAAATATATGTTGACTAGAGTAAACAATTATGCCTTCTGTCTGGCTTATCTTACACATACATATTTTCAATATTTTTTGCAGTAGTAAATTTTTTGTTCAGCTTACATCTAAAATTTAAACATTAATGGAGTTAAAAAATATTAATATTCGTTCAATACTGCAATTACATACTCGTATGTGTATATATATATGGAATATAGGCTGCCCGTTCTGCCTAATTTCACATTAAAATATTCAAGCAAAATAAATAATTTCTAGTCTAAATGTAGATATATCAACAGTTAGATAATTTTAATAACGAAACTAATTTGTTATGATAGGAAATAAATAATGTTACTAAAATATATGATTAAATTAATGTTTAAGGTTTCATTTTTTACGGTTTTATGGGAGAAATGTTGTCTAACCAACTGATTGTACGAGTTAATCAAAATATTTTATTTTATAAATTGTAAATCAATTTTAAATTTGTTATTGTTCTGAAAACAAGTATTTTTAGGGCGTGAACCCAATAGTTCTATTCAAATAGTGCAGGAGAAAACCAGGAACTATTGTATTGGATATTCTTATAATACTATGTATAATATGAAATGCAACTTTTTCGCTTACATTTCTTTTCGCTATTGAAAGCTTATTGTTTTACTTTTTTCTTTTGAATTATTGAAAAACACCTAAAAGCATTGAAGAATACACGTTGATACTCTTATAAATATGTTGTCAATATCAGTACATATAACTTTTACATACTTTACTTTAACATCCATTTAAGCGAAAAAGTTTACTATGATGTTCTCCAAAAATCTGTGCTCTTTTTCAAGAAAGACTTTTATTCTTGATTTTTATGTATGGGACATTTTCAAATGTTAGGTGCTTAAAAATGTTGGTTGTTTACATGGACGGGCATTTAGCAATACTACTGCTCTAACCAGGATCCAGTAGTGGCATTGGGCGCCTTCAACTTTAAAATTATAAACAATTATTTTATACAGAATTATAAAATATTTTTTCTCTTACTTTTATGTTGAATTGTTTCATTGTATTCTCTAGAGCAACCGCATTTCCGGAAAAATATGCAGCTATTGCATTATGAAGTAATACTAACTGTTTATGCATCACTTTAATCTGGAATGAAAACCAGTAGTACATTAGAGGTATGAAATTATAGCAATGTAAAATGCGCACTCTATTTTCGTCAAGAAATTGCATTTTTACGGCGACATCGGCTCGTAACTTTTCATAAAGTTCCTTATGATGAGAAAAGTTTTTCTGCGCCTCTTCGGTAACAGGACTTTGTGGCAATTCAGGTTTTGTATTTTCCAAATCCATACGATACGCGTCAAACTCCACTCTGAAAATTCAGAATTTATATTACAAGTTTTAATTATGATAAATACCCTGTCGTACCTGGCTATTTCATATTGCTTGATTGTGAGTAACGTATCATCGATAGTTTTATTGCACAATGTATTCACCGATGAAATGAAAAAATTCAGAGCACTCAGCAGCAACTCACCGTTCTTTGTCAGATTTCTTTGCGTTTCAGAATTACATGTAAATTCCTCTTGCAGTTCTGGACTTTTCTGTGCTAAATCAGCAAATGCCTCGGCCAGTGCATGTTGCGTTACTACTACATGATGAAAGTGGGAACTGAAAGCTCGGGTCAGTCGTAAAATAGATAAGTATTTCCGCTGTGTTTCTCGCAATTGTTCAATCTGCGCTTCCAACTCTGAGTCAACAGTGCGTTGTGATTTGCCTAATTTTTCTAACATAATCTGTCGAGTACATTTGTAAGTTGATATGCTCCAATTCTTTATACTGTCAATTTTTGAGGCCCCCGTACGCAGAAGACCGGCGTCCATGCCGTTCTGTGGGCTGTTTTGTGTCATCGGTGTAGCGGGTGCTGAAGTAATTTAAGTTAGGTGAAAATTTAAAATTTGTTTTTCGTAAAAAAATATACCTGAATGATTATGCAGTGGTAGACTATTTGGTGGCATGAATGGCCGGCCTTCAGTTCCACTATGTATTGCACTACCACTTTCGTTCATCGGCGGTGTGTCTTTTAGCATCTCGTGAATGCTGCGTTCTGTATGCAACGAATGGGCCATTTTGTGGCAGCGGAGTAGATTTCTCTTGTGTCCAATGGCTTATTGGAGCCGTAATTTAAAACACTTGTTAAAAAATATGTACTAATTAAACATTGAATCTTTATATTTTTTTCTCACTATTAAAGTTCTTTATTTTTGCTTTAATGACACCGCCAGTCGGCGATGATATACGCAGGAAAGAAATAAACAAAAATCGATTTTAAGCAGTTGTCCTTACCTAAATTTTAAAATTCCACTATACTTTTTAACAACTGTATTTCATATGCTTATTGAATAACTTTTCACTATGGTGCAACACCAATTTAGTTGGTTTTAGCCAATTTGATTTATCTTATACAAAGAAAATTTTTACCCACGACGCCTGAATTTTTTCCACCGATGACAGAGCAAGGAAACTGTCGTTGGGCAGTGTTGCTGTGAATTTTAAGCAAGCATTTTAATTTTCCCATTTTACTACAGTTTGGATTTTAAGTTTTAAGATAATATTTTATTTACCGCTGCATATTATAATAACTTTCATTTATGTTAAAAGAGTTATTTTGGAAAAAATTAAAATTTTTGCATGAAAGGATATTATATAAAAAGTAATAAAAAATTTAAAAAATATTTTTATTAAAAATTGTTTGCAAACAACTTCTGAGTGCTTTTCCAACACTGTCGCCCTGATGATGGAAGAATGTACGATTTATAAGAACGATAAGTATATAAGTGTAATCCCTACTTTATGTGTTAAAGGATTGTTACCGAAATACTCTACATTTTGTTTTCAATCCAAATAAATTCATCGAGGTTTTCTACATATATATTTGATTTAAAAATTAAGCTTTAAGAAGTACTTTTGCAGTGGTTTCGTGTATTTTAAGATAAATACAAAATTTTAAGCCAGAATCCATTGCGAAAGTTGCTTCAGGCACATTTTATAACAACGGTGGAAATAAGATACTTTAAAAGCCAGGTGTATTCATTGAGGCTAGTTCTGAAATAACCAATGTGACCAATCCAATTTCTATAAAAAATTATTTGCAAAAGTTGGATTCCATCAGGTTGGGTGTTTTAAAGAGCAGCCTTTAGTCGACATTTGCTAAATAAAGAAAGCCATAAAGAAATACGCGGTATATACAAATATACTTCTCCAAAATTAATAAAAAAAATGTCTAGCGAAAGTGATAGCATGCAGCGTTCCCTGTCATCACCTCCATCGTCCCCACAACTCGGCAAAAAAATACGGCTTGATGAGCAGGCTCTTCATGAGCAGACAACTGCTATGAAAGAGAAAGGTTTCTCCTTAAGCGCCATAGCAGAAATGAAAACTCGTGTTGAGGAGAATAATCAAAGCGGTACACTGGATCAAAAATTGCGTCAATTTCAAGTGTTAGACGAAGTACAGGGATCTGGAACTGATGACTCTGGTAAGTTGTGTTCTTTTCTTACACTCGAGTTGTTATTAAAAAAAATTATTATATTTGTTGTAAATAACACATTAGAGCACATACTCCTGGATTGTTGGATTCCGCAATCGGGAGAAAAAGGTGTCAGGCTATCGGACAATTAAATCCGGTGAAAGAATACATTACAACCATTAACCCAGGCGCTTTACTAAACCTTTTTAATTTGACTGGGTTAAACTAAATGTGTTGTGGGAACAGGAGAGGGTATTCCTCAAATATCATTGCATTCCTCAAATTTCAATCTATCAATCTCATATTAATCATAAATAAACAAATAAAGCAGTGTTTATCAAACCCTTACTAAGTGTAATATTTCAAAAAATTTCAGTGGGGAGATAAAATCGAAATTCTACTCCAGATATGTGTATTGTATTATTACCGGTAACTGGTTGTGTATGATTAGATCTAACCAAATTGATAATTAAGGCAAAATGTAGTCAATTGCCAACATAAACGAACCAAATAGGCATTTGCAATGAATAATTTAAATGGTATCAACTACATAAACATTACAAATTCCTCATCTATCTAATTATATTTTCTTTATCAGACATTGCAAGTGAAAATGGTGATAAAAATTTTGATAATGGTGACGGATATGAATCTTCCGATTTGGATATAGATGACAATGAGATAGAAAATTTGCTCAACGAAAATTTACCTGATGATCTGAAAGAGCCGAAAAAACCTAAATACGAAGAGCGATTTAAAACAGTATTAGAAGGTTCGAACTAAATGTGGTAATGATATTAAAAACCAATTAATCAAAATAATATTTTAGAAAAAGGCCACAATCATTTCGAGGTGTTACCGGAAGGTTGGGTGCAAGTAACACACAACAGCGGTATGCCTCTCTTTTTACATAAACAATCACGTGTCGTTTCGGCGTCAAGACCATACTTTCTTGGACATGGTAGCGTAAGGGTAAGATAGTAATAAACTTCTATCCACTGAAATTGTATATACATATATATAAATTCCAAGCACAAAAAACAGTTAATTACCTATATTCGTTGTTAACTGGAACTATGAAATAGTTGACTAAAACTTGTATACTCTCTCTAATATTATTTTAATATGGTAAATTTACACGTAGAAAAGAGTTGTTATTTAAATCTTATTTCATCCTTAGAAACACGCAATTCCTTTGGGCGCCATTCCGTGCCTTAATTATAGACGAGCCATTGATGAAGAAGAGACGGAACGTTTGAATCAAAAAATAGCAGAAGAAAACTCAGCGATGGAAGCGGAAGAGGTCATCGAAACCAACACTGATAAAGTTCCTAAATGCCCATTTGCTGGTGCCAACGTTAGCGCCGATGTTTCCATAGACTCCAGTCAGTTCGCGCAGGTTTCGTCATCTACGAATGGAAAAGAGATGGACATAAGTGAACCTGCTGCAACACCAATATCCGACACACTTACAGCCATCACACCAACTTCAGCGAGCACAGCTGATTTGGCGGCTAATGTTGCAGCATTAAAGAGTCTAGTGCCGCCTGCGAAAATTGTTACCGTCACCGAGAATACGCAAAAGGAGTCGCTGACACCCGAACAATTAAACCAATACTGTGCGAAACTATTTAAATTTAAAGTGATAAGGGTTTTACGTTTTCGTTCCTGGAATGCGCGACGTAAATTCACGAAAAATCGAAAACATATTAAAAATTTACAACGTCCCACTCTGCCGGATGGTACGAAACTAATCAAATTCCCAATATTGGCGCCAAGTGGCGATACAAATACGAACACGCGTGGCCGAAAAGAATGGATTATGAATCCGAATGGAAAAAGTTATGTCTGCATATTGCATGAGTATGTGCAGCATGCATTGAAAAAACAGCCAACATATGAATTCAAAGAATTGGAAAATGCAGCAACACCCTACTCTGCAACGGTATCAATCAACGATTTGAAATATGGCACGGGCTATGGCACCAGCAAAAAACAGGCAAAATCAGACGCTGCGCGTGAAACATTAGAGATACTTATACCTGAAATGAAGGACAAAATTACGGGTATTAAACAAGATAAGAATGCACCGAAAAATAATCACAAGGATTTATCGGTGAGTCAATTATACATAGCAAATCGGTGAAATATTTGTAAATATTGTAAATAATATTCTTATATATATTCAACAAATTAGGTTTTTGACGATATTAAAATACAAGATCCACGTGTAGCTGAATTTTGTAATAAGACAACAGAACCTTCGCCGCATGCTATACTGTTGACTTGTCTCCAGCGGAACTTCGGTCTTGGCGATGTGCAGATAAATTACGAAATTAATCGCACAAAAAATAAGAAAAATGAATTTACTATGACTGTGGGCAAACACACAGCCAAAGTGTTATGCAAGAATAAGCGTGAGGGTAAACAGCTGGCTTCCCAAGCGATTTTACAGGTGCGTTTTATCCACATGTATTATGTTTATATTGAAATTCTTCAGAATTTTTAGTATTATATTTTCTTGTATGTTTCATAATATTTTTCTTTAAACTGCCAATTTCATTTTTCAGATTTTACATCCACATATTAAGACATGGGGCTCCCTGCTGCGTCTGTACGGCAACAATTCAATAAAGACGTTCAAAGAAAAAAAGCTGGAGGAGCAGGAGATTACGGTATTGCAAAGCAAAGCTGCAATAAATCAGCCAAATTACGCGATTCTTGACAAACTAAAAGCGGAAATGTTAAAATTAGCTGAAAAGAATAAATCGGTTGTATCAATGGGCACTTTTGTGCCACCCTGTGATGTTGACCTACCGTCATCATCTGGTTCAAATCTCAATAATGTGGAACTATAATCTTCAAATTAAAGTTCTCGAATGGTATTTTGTTATGACTGATTTCAAATATAACTGAAGAAATGAACAAATTCATATAATTAATTAAATAAAGTGATTTATTGTAATAAAATCGTCCTAAAAGTGAAGGTCGGTAATGTTGATTGAGGCCTAAAAATTTGATGTTGCTTTTAGCACTTTTTAAGTTTCAATATTTTGACATACTGTTATAAAAATGTGAAATGGAAACGATTCCCAAACTGTACGAAAGTTTTTTTATGTATGGAAATATGTGTTTTGAGTCTAATAAATTGCTATTGTAGGAATTGATGATAATAACACCAGCTTGAGCTACATATAGATATTATTTATAAGCAACTGTTTCAATTTTAGTTAATCACATTGCTGCTTTTCTACAGTAACTTCAGTTTTACATAGTAGAAAACAAATTTAAAAATAATAATAAGCAAATGTATTTGATGAGCTAAAATGGCATAATATAGATTTCTAAAGCAAGCATAGAACATTAAAGTCCATAGATAAAAAAATTACGTTAATTTTTCACAAAGGAAAGACATTTTTGAGTTTGTTTTATAAGAAAAGCCTTTACATTGTGTCTCTGTATTTATATATCATTAATATACATATTACTAAAATATGTGTATTTAAATATTTTACGTACAAAAAATATATATTTGTCGTTACTTTTAATACGATCAGAGAAAATCCTTTGTGATATACAAATGTGTTAAGCGATTAAGGTAAAAGTTAGGTTAGATACAACACGGCAGTTATAACAAAAAAATTTTCTCAAGTTGAAACTATGATAAAGCCTTTAGATGTAAATTGTTTCTACATGTCAAATGAAAAACTACCCTTAAGATCAATTGGATTACAAAATAAATAAAAACATTAACTATATTCTGAACTGAATAAAATTAATTAAATAAATTCCTTTACGTGCACACTTTAAAGGGCTTTCTATACATCAACTAATAAGAATGATCTCATATGGTTTTGTCATCTATATGCAGTTATATTTCATTTACAAATAAGACAGTTCCTATACAACATAAGCTGCTGGAGCGAGCCACGTTAAACCTAGGAGGCATTTCATGAAATTTTGTGTGACTAAGTATTTTTCTGAGTATATAAAATGGACGAAAAAATTGAAGCTCATTCAAATTTCTATTAAAAGTATAAGCGATATGCGAAGGTAGTTAATTTGTTATATTTTAATTTATGTGTGTGCATGTGATTAAGTGTTAATATACGATATCCAAATATTTTGTCTAATATCTCTCTTGTTTTTACATGCAATTATTTTTAAATAAATAAAATCAATTAATAAAAGTCAAACTTAAATCTTTTTCTAAACTGTAAAATATATGTTTAATTTAAGAGAAAACATCCAATCTTTAAAAGCTACAAGTGCGTAATAAGAGAACTGCTGAGCGACAATAAAAAGGGCAGCGAAATACGAGGCGAATACTGTGATTGTTGTTACCATTTTTGCCATACATTTTTCGTGAACTTGCCGTGAACACTATTTCGTTTCTTAAATAACGAATAAGGAATTGCTAAGTTTGTGCTGTAATTGCTAATTTAAAGTATTTATTTTTTTTTTAATTATGGTCCAATTTTGATTTAAAAAAAGGGAGCTTAGTTTGATTGCCGCAACCAGATTAAAACATTACATGCGTATATTCGCTTTAACGTGAGCGTACAGAGTGTAAAGAACAAGCAAACAAAAACAAATGTACACATTGGCTTTGCATATGCGACGAAATGCGAATAGCGGCGAGACCTCGTGAACAACAACGAAGTAAAATAGCCAGGGAAGACGGACAGACAACAATGAGCCACAGCCGCGCGAGCGACGATATAAACGCTAATATTATTGGAAATTGTATAAAAAATTAATGAAAATTCATTGGTAAAGTTAGTAAAATAGTATTGTTGATAAACTGAGTGAAAATTTAAATCTTTTAGTGGATCGCATTTTTAATTCATGTAAACTTGATTATTTTAAACAGCAAGCCGTAAGCAAAAAATGGATTACAAAAACTAAAACGTCAAATATGTATAAAATTGTGTGTATATATGTACATTCGCATTTACAAATAAGTGAACGATTTGATTTGCGAATCGTGCAGGCGACAGAGTCGACGAAGAAGAGCAATTTCACGTATTGAACTTTAAAAAGTACAATTATATTAGTACATATGCATAAAGCAATTATTCTTGCTTATACTTAAATATTACTAGTATTGACAGCGTGGAAAAGGTGTATATTGTCGGCAAAGTGTGGGAAATGCTGTATTGATGGCACCCATCGGCATTCAGTTCTTACAAATAGTTTGCAAATATTGGTTTATTAATCAGATTAGAGAAATCACACTTTTCTAAGCAATCATTAAATTTGCACTGTAAACGTTATAAGAGCTTGAGTTATATCCCGGCTAAGAAATCGATACAGCGCCATAGTCCTGCTGGTCAGCAGTGACAGCTATTTCAAGCATCGGAAATAAAATACACATATATGTAAATCACACAAAGCAGGCTGTTGAAATTAAGGTAGAGCTGGCACTCCATGGTTACGAATATAAGCTTTGCACTAAACTCAGCAAGTCACGACAATAGGGAAGAGTGGCAAAGGTAGTGAGAGCAGATATAAGATAGATATAAGACGACTACTTGTGAGTTAGGCCACAAAATGTAAGTATACTTTATATACTTAATTTTAAATGATTTAATTATGTTATTTAAATATTTTTTATTTAAAATGTTTGCCACATTAACTTCATCGCCCTTTTTGAATGTGTCTCATTGTACGAGTGGATAGTACCAACTTTAAGTTAAACTGCATTGTACCATGTATTGGCAAGTTAAAGCGAATCCCGTTTTATTGCCCACAGTTTTGCTGATAGGACCAATTTTTCTAATGATTATATGTGTATGTGTGCAAGATGCTGCAATAGTAGATGCACACGACTGCAGCTGTATAAAAAAAAAGAAAAAAAAAAATCATCTAGAGAGGAGGTGTTATTTTGTTGAATCAGATTTCAAATATCTGATTATCTTTTTGTTACCAAAGTTGCCCCATTATTTCAGTTTTGAATGAATGATTATATGACAATTCAATTGTTCAACAAAAGACAAATTAATTTAATTTGACCTTAGAAAAAAAGTTCAGTTGAAAGCACTGTATTTATACCATGGACAGGTTATATTAAGTTCGCCACGAAGTTTGTAACACCCAGAAGGATGTTATAAATTTATAAAATGTATATATGTACTATGTATAAATAATGAGCATGACGAGCTAAGTTGATTTAGCCATCCCGACTGTCAGATCGTGCGTCAGTTTGTATATATGGGAACTACTCCCTCAGTTTTTGAGATATCGATATGAAATTTTGCACACATCCTTTTCACCCATGCTGCTCATTTGTTTTATATATATACATATATATATATATTGGACTACTATAGCATATAGCTGCCATAGACTCTGAACTTTTTTATTTGTAAGTCAATGGTACAATCTCCGAAAAAGTTGTTTAGATCGGACTGACCGATCAAAATCAAGTTCTTCTATGGAATATTTTGTTTTTGTGAAGTGTAATATACAGTCTGTGCAACCAGTTAACTTCGGGTTTTTTCTTATTTTAAGTCATAGCATTAACGGGTTGTTATTCTGTGCATATGTTGCTGATTTTTGCTTTCTAAAATTTAGTGGACATTATTATCGGGGTCTTAGCTACTAGTCCTCTAAATATGGGTATGACAATTGTCATCTTTTTCAAATTGGGATTATTGAATAAAAAAGGATATTAATCAATAGTATAGTTTTGTAAAATGTGTCGTAAATGCATTCTCATTTATGTCTTTACACTATATATTCGTAAGAAAACTGTTAAAGAAGAAACGCATACAATGTATTATTCGGATATATCTATGTATCCGCTTTCTATAAAGTTTTCGAGTAGAGAAAAGTTTTGTATGATCATATTAATATAAGTTATATATAATTATAAGTGATATTTCTAAAATATTGTATTGCTTATGTATCTTCTTATATGTACATACATATTTACATGCATATATACATTTTAATAGCAATAGATATTAAGAGATGGCTACTGCTCACAATATTTTAGAAATTGGAGAATACTTATCGTTTGTTTTCCAACAAAATGAGACAACGCAAATACTCTTACATCTGCAAACACATATGTATATGTTTGTATATTCATACATATTGCATTATACGGTATACGAGTACTTCTTTTCGTACCTGTAAGTAGTTGATGGGATAGCTGTTTTCGTTGCAAAAGAGTTTTGGGGGTATGGGGAATTATTTTCGGCATTTTATGTTTCAGATGGCATACAATAGCAATAAGAATAACAATTTTCTAATCGACTGTGTATATGCATTTGACTTTGCTTCGTGTATATTCATCGTAGCAGACGAAGGTAGCCCGTGTAGTGACTGTGAAAACGATGTACGTACGACACATAAACTGATCAGCATCATCGTTCATTCGTCTTGGTTGTCATACACCACAGGCGTGTTTTTAACCTTTTCTTTTTCGTCATTGCTAGTGTTTGTGTATATTATTTTATTTCTCTTTACATAATTAATTAAATTAGTTCGAACAACCATACTAACTATTTTCTTAATTATTTCCATTCCTTTGCGTACGTATTCAGCATTGAGTTGGCAGTATATCAGCATTCCTATGATATCATCAACACTGTAATGGAGAAAAATACGTTGGCTGCTGAAGAGAGTGTCGACTCGATACCGGGTCCGGCGTATGAACATATTGTTGTCACTACGTCCACCTTAGAACCGGCTATTAAAAGTGGCCTAATCTCTACGAATATTTTGGCAGTAACGGAGGAGGAAGATGGGGACATGGAGGACGAGGACTGTAGTGAAGGTAATGAAGAACATATGGACGTAGAATATAATCAAGAAGAAGGTGAAGAAGAACAAGCGGAGCCTGAAACTGAAGATGGCAGCTTTCTGGAAGATGATTTCAACGAGCGTGATGATTATAAAGAAAATGAACGTAACCTGAAGGTTACAAGCTTGAATGCATTAGAACAAACTACAGTTGATATTGCTGCACACAGTGAGCAAGTAAACCAAATTGATAATAGTAATGCAGCCACATTAACTACAACATTGGTAAACTCTGCACCTAAGCTGAATTCACAAACCGAGACAGTAGTAGAAGCGTCTGTAGAAGGTGTGGGTATTTGTCCAGTACCGGTACAAATTGTTTCCGCCCTGACCGTGAAGCCTAAATTGTTGCCAATGAAAACAAAAAATAATAAACTTATTATGGTACAGGTGATGAATGACCAGCCGGTGGACAGCACTCAATTGGGTGTGCAGAGTTCATCGCCTAGTCAAATCTCAAATGGCTCACGCAGAACAATCGATGAGCTTGCTGAGGCTGTTGTCTCAGATGCAGACAAACTAATATCTCCTAACCAAGAGAAATCCCCGGATTCGTTACAACATAATCAACAACAGCAAAATGTACGCTTTCTTGCACGCAGTAGTACACCGCTATCACGTGAATTTCTTGCACTCCAACGTTCCGTGAATGAATCAAAGGTCTTGAGTGAATTTGTAACCGATGCTGTGCGAAAGCGCCAAAAGAGTGCGCCAAAGGATGCTCATGAACAAAATTACGCGCACCAACAACAACAACAGTATCACCATAATCATCATCATCATTACCATGGCGAAAAGCAGCGCAAACCTAGTAAATTCGCTCCTTTGAAAGACGATAGCGGCAGTTCGACATCGAGCACTTTGCAGCGACGTTCACGCAGCAAGAGCGTCAATCGCAAAAGTGAAGATATTCTGGATACCTCAACCGGCAAGCTTAAACGTTGGCCATCTGATGAGAAGATGCTCAAACGCACTAATATGCGCTCACAAAATTCCGAATTTGTGCAGAAACAAATGGAATTTTTGAATCGTGTCAAACACGATGAAGGCGAAGTTTCATCAGAAGCGGATGATGGCGAGCGTAGTTTTGTCAATGGTGGTGAAGATGATGATATAAATATGGTGGTGGTAGAGAGTAATACAATCAACGATAGCAATGCATCGGTTGCCGGTTTTGCGGGTAGTACAAGTTCTTTGCTGGACACAACGTTGGAGCGTGAGGCCGCAGTAAATATTGCCACAACGTCTAATGTAGATAGTGTAGAGGCACGTTTAATAAATTATTGGGCACCACCGCCAAAGGTAAGTGCAATAAGTTTTGTCTAGAGAAAACAAATAATTTGTAAGTTTCACAAAAATTTCCAGAGAGGTTGGGATAGCTTTTGTTGGAAATGCCGTGAGTGTGTCGACCTATTTCCGTGTTCCAAATGTGTACGCTGCTTCCATTGTACTTGCATTAAGGTAACAGCTGCCACAAAATTAGATGATTCGTGGGTATGTCCAGAGTGCACGAGTGTGGAGAACGTACTTAATGGCCCCAAACGGTAAATTCAAAGACTTAAATTTTCATTCGATTTGAATACAGTTTGCAAGACTTTCCAATTTTTTTACGAGAGAATTTGGTTTTATATTGTAAATATTTACCAGACTAGTTTTCTTAAAATCGTATATAATTTTTCTTTTTTTAATTTATAATCTATTTGATTTATGATTATATTATCAAAATCCTAATCAGTTTTTTACGCCATACCGAATTTGGAATTAAAATTTAATAGATCATTAACTGTTGTAAAATAGTTTGCGTCGGATAAAAGTCTCGGTCCCTTTCGGTTACGTAGACCTGACAGTCGTGGTCTTCATTGATTCTTCATGGAATGAAAAAAATTTAATGAGGTTTTATTAATAATTGTGTAAGCCAATAAAATATTTTTCTAAACAACAATTTTTATTGTAAACTAAAATTGTAAACCAGTATTTGTTGAAAGTCTAAACGTTTTCTTTAATAATTGTTTATACTATTAAAATAGTTTTTAAAAAACAATTTATGTTCAAAAATTTTACAAAATTTCTATGTTTTTAAAATTTAAAATTCGATTTTTTAGTATTTTTGAACTGTAAATTATTTAAAATAGCTCTAATGACTTTATTGCAATTATGTCTGTTTTCCATGGTATTTGTGTAAAAAAAACGTTGCTCTTATGTCAGAAAAAATGGCAAATCTAATGCATTCTCAGTAATAATTTTTATATTTATTTGAAATCTAAAACTTAAACAATCTAATTCCTTGATATTCTTTCGTCGTTCCAACAGCAGTTCTCGTCGCAATGAGATGTCCTTAGATGTGCTAAGTCAGCTTCTTTCGTTCGCTTTGAAACGCATGAAAATGGTTAAAGGGGTGAGTAAATATCTAAAATTACAAACAAAATCTGTGTGTATGTACATTTATAAAAACCTATATGCATAAGTATATGAATACTGATGCAAATGTGTGTCAAAATTTAAAGAAATAGAACACCAAATTTTGAAATGTTTATTACGTCCATCTAATTCCATTATGCAATATACATATATAATTCCACATGAATGAAAAATGTATTAACTCGCACTTGTATTTTAGCGAGTTAAATATCAAAAAACAGACGAAACAATATAAAACATTAAAAATAGTTTATTGTATATATTTGTCAGATACCGACACAATCAAGTTTTTCGTATTGTTATTCATTTGGTCAATTGTATTGTGTTTCATCACATGACGCTTCGTCGTCTTTGCTATCACATTTAATTTTATTTTTTTTTTTTTATTGTTTATTTGCTTCGCGTACGCTATAGTCATCGTGAATTTTACGAACTCGTCTCTACTACAGCAATGGAGATTTCTGTTAGCTTGGTTCGATTTTATAGAAAAAGCTACAACAGCAACAGCTGAGACAGCAACAACTAATCGTTGTTTTAACTTTCAATCTGCTTGCTGCTTGATATGAGTGCAAGTATACATATGTTCGTTTATATAAATATGTGCTGTACATACATATGTTCACATTTACATATATATGTATGTAGTTTTTTGGCACTGCATATAGAAATATACATATGTATATTTAATTATACGAGGTTATTCCCTACAACTTGGTTATCGTAATCAAAGTAGTTTTAATTTTATAAATATAATATAATTTATAACAAGTACCTTCTACTCATACATGTATGTATGCTTACTCATTAATCAATGATGTTAGAATTAGGTGACCATATTTGTTCCGGCAAAATCCAGGACATCGATTTTTTCCATATTATAATTCACTGAAAATCGCGAATATAATAGATGAGAGAGCAACACAATTTTATTCAATTCATTCTTTTTTGTAATTTCTAAGCCCGGGACGCCTTACTCGGAATCCGGACCGGCCAAACCGGGACGAATAGTTAGCTAATGTTAGACATTATATATGTATTTAATTATGTGCATGTAACATGTTTATCTATGTACATAAATATATGGTACATATGTATGTAGGTACATATACATATATTCTTATTTGCGTATGTTCATTAAAGTAAATTTGTAATAAATTAAATAATTAAATAAAATATCGATATACCAAATATAAATACATGTGTATGTATGTATATGTAATGCTTAGTTTGTACATAATCAAATAATTTCTTAGTCATAATTGCTGCTATGACAAATAATTTTGATAATGCCATAATTTACCAGCAAAATAAGAATCTGATAATACGCACAATGATGTGCAATAAAAACGCATCATATAATACTTTTCAATAATTCAATAGTCAATAGGAATATGTTGGAATGTTCTTGCAGCAATAACGCAATAGTATAAAATATTCCAAAAAAAAGTTTTTGAAAATGATTTTGAGGCGTAATTTTTTCTGTCGCTTTAATTCCGGTCTGTTCCGGTTACGCAGCCACCAATGTTTTATAAACATTTTGGACTGACATTGATGATGACGGAAGATTATAGTGGTCATTTTAAATTTAAATTATTATACATTGAAAAATTAATATTATTTACGTACATATATAGAAGAAACCAGTTGAAATGCAAAATGCAAAAATAAACGTGTAAATACGTATCTATATGTATAGTATATATGAGCCATGAGCGTGTCGCTAAAATGTCTTCTTTAGTAAGCATTGGACAACAGCGCATGTTTACTGGTCTGGATATATGTAATTATATACATATGTATGTATAAATATGTGCAGCGCATATATTGAATGTCGGTCATTATTCAGCGTTTCTTTAATTCAACTAAATTACATACTTTGCAATTAACTAACCTAGGAAATATATGGTTTGCTAACGCCGCGAATGGAAGTCTAAGTCATAGCTGGAAAATAAATGTATGATATGCTCATATGTATGTATATATATGTATGTACATATATATGGATTAACAATTTAATACAGGCATGTACATATGTCAGACCCGATTTGTTTGCATTAAGTAATTATGTACTTGAAATTACGAATATCTTCAATTATATCCGGATTTGTTGGATATGTGGCAAACTTGTTTAATACAAGTACTACTCTTTTATTGCTTTCACATACATTACAGTTGCTCTTCGATACTTTTCTGTCGCATACGCTCGGATGCGTTGGGTTTTTCTTCTCTTTTGAAACTTGCGGCGAATTTACCGGTTAAGAGCGTAATATTTGTATTTGTATATAGAAATATACATATGTATGTATATTTAATTATACTCCCCACTGCATGCTTTCTATTTCCTTACCTGTTTCTCATTACAGTCACATTGTTACACTCCTGTTGTTACTTGTCCGCTCTTTTGCCACTTTTGTTAATAATAATATACCTAGTTATGTAATATATGTATATGCAATCTGAATCAAACACCTTTAGATAGTTGATAGGTATTATTTGGGGTTTATCTGCCACTTTAGGGTACATAGTAGTGATATAATTGATGGAAAATGATACATATTCAGATATAAATACCTACATAAATGCATATTTACATTGACCTATTTCTTTTCGAATTAAGCTTTGATGCACCTCTGTAGACATACGTATTTGTAGCTATTAAAATATTTAATACATTAAATCATCACAGGAGAGCTATTTAAAGGTAGATATGCTTATTTATAATAAGTAAAAATCATATATTGTAAAAAAGTTGAACTTTTTTGGTTAGGTAATTGAAATGTGGTGAGTCATATTAGGTTTTTACATAAGTTTTATAATTAAATTGCTAAATTATATTTCCCCTTTTAGATTTATATTTAGTTTAGTAAGTAATCTTTGTCAACCAGAAAACTATATAACAAAAGCGATTTTTTTAGTAATTTACTTACAATAATAATATAATATGGTAAATACAATTAAAATCCACAATAGTTATAAAGAAACATATATTTATTTTTTTAAATTTTATATTTATATATAATTTGTTTACTAATCCTCTTTTTTTCATTGCCCATTGCAGTATACCAAGTTCCTATACACCGAGAGTAATCTATTACATTACGCCAAGTACATTGCAAATCCAGTTACATTCACTACGTTACAGGAGAAAATTGAGAAACGCGCCTTCCGTTGTTCCGAAGAGTTCCTGAACGAAACAAAGTGGATACTACACAATGCTCTCATTCTTAGCAGTGGCAGTGAGTTAGCAGAAACAAATAAGAGTACAACCGTTTTTCATAATAATAAATGAAAATTAATTTATTCCAGGCTCTAGTAAAGAGGTGTTTACTGCCAAATCCATATTGAAAGTTTGTCGGCAGGAGACAAACGAAATTGACACCTGTGGCGAATGTTATTTGAACGCCAATACGCGTACCGATTGGTTTGTGGATGTTTGCGCGCAGCCACATCTTTTACTTTGGGCAAAGTTGAAGGGATTCCCGTATTGGCCAGCAAAAGCCATGGGTCCCGGACAGGGACTCTCCCATGTGAATGTACGTTTTTTCGGCGAACATGATCGTGCTTTTGTGCCGATCAAAGATTGCTTTCTCTATTCGGAGCAGGATCCAAATACACAAACTGGCAAGCGTTCGGCGCGCGAGTTGGCCGATTGTATTAAAGAAGTTGAGGTGCATATTGAGAAGATTAGAACTAAAGTGGGCGCATTTAAGTATGCCAAATTCAAAACACCCTACGAACCGACTGAGGAGCTGCAACAACTGGAAATGATGATACCCGGTGTGATGGACTATATGAAACGGCAACAGGCGTTGGTGCCGAAACCTTCGTTACAATATAAAATTGTCAAGACGGCGGATAATCATTTGTCGATTATAAAAAAAGCATGTACAACAGAGTCGAGCAACGATTCTGATCATTCTGTCAGTCCGCATAAGAAGCCCAGTAGTATTACAAGTACAAGTTGTGGTGTTGGTGATGTCAAGGCAGCCATAATTACGCCTAAGTATGAAGTGGTTAGCAAAGCAAGTTCTGACGATAGCAATTCGTCAAAGGTGACCGCCGTCATTTTGAAACGCAAATCCTCTAGCGAACACAAAAAAGAGGCTGGAGAAGAACTGGAGCTACCAATGCCGAAGGTGATAAAATTCGACAAGGAAGAAAATGATCAGCGCTTGCTAGCTGGTGCCATCCTTACTGGTAATGCCGATGGCAATGCGGAAGCTAGTAGCAAGCGTAAGTATGGCGTTGATACTTGTGGCGTAAGTATAAATACAAGCGGCAGTAGTGTTGATAGTACCACTAAAATGACTGACACAACCGAGCGTCCACGCACGAAGCATGCCAAGCATGAACCACGTGTTCCAATGATTACAATTAAAACAAATGCAAATGCATTAACAGTGGCAATTGGTTCCGAAAGCAAAGCTGCACCCGCCATAGCAGTACCTATCTCAAATTGCTCCAACACCACAAATTTGAATGTGGAAGCTAAGCCAACAGCCGCTGTAAAGGAAGAGCTTGCTGCCGCAGCAACGTTGGCACCACTAACTTCGTCACCGAATAATGCTCAAACCTTAATGGAGAACTTGGTTAAGAATAAGCACGGTGTCACAATTAAGAAGATATCGAAGGAGAATAATCAGACACCAATGACAAAGCCCGATGAATGTACAAAGCTGTTAGCGGCAATGAACACAGCAATAGAAGAGGGGCCAGCAAACGCTGACAGTGATGTAAAGAAAGCGGATGCGGCATCAGATACAGCAAGCGGTACACAAACAATTAGATCCACCAATAGTACTGATAATGATAACAGTAATGCAAATGTCAACAAGAGCGCAGAAAGCAGCAGCAGCAGCAGTAGCGGCACGAATAAAATGGAGGATAGCAAAAAAAGTACAAGCAAATCCACAACAAATACGCACATACTAAAAGATTTAGTGCCTTTTATTGAGATAAAGAAAGAAATTACTTCGGACGATGAAGCAGATATGCAAATAGCTGCCAACATAAGTGGACAGAACAATAAACATTTGAACGAAAAAGCGTCCAAGGTTACAACGGAAGCTGTGTCAACACCGAAAGCAAACGTTGGCACTTCTTCGCAGGTATCATTACCTGTCGTCGCAGTGCCGGCTGTACTGCCGAACTTGTCACTCGTCAAACAAGAAGTAATGTCAGATGAGGAGGAAACCACGGCTGCCACAATTAATGCTACAGATCAAGAGCTGAACACAACATCGTCTAGTGGCGATAATGCAACCAATATACCTATTGCGCCGTTACCCGATGCGGTACGTGTAGGTGACACTATGATTCAACGTGTGAATGCCAAAAACCAACGCAACACGCAACCCAGTCTAGTTTCATTCAAACCACTTGCTCAAACAACGCCCGAGGGTGCTGCTGCAATGGATATGCCAAATGTGCAGTCTTCGCCTGGTATCCATATAAGTCCCCCTAATAAACGACCGAATACTCGAGGCGTGCCATATGGTCCACTGCCAGCTTCAGCTGTTGCTCAGTCACAGCCGCAGACACAAACAAACACAATATCAGCAAATAATACAGGGAATCGTGCTACAATACAGCAACAACAACAATTACCCCCGTCATCGTCACCGCCTCAAGTGCAAACTCAATCACAATCGCCACAGACGCTTCAGCCGCTTCAACGCGCACGCAAATCATTTCCGAATCGCGCTACGCCTGATATTAGTGCAACGCGCAACAACTTTTCCAGCGCGCCACATTCATCGCCTGCTCTATCGCCGCCCTCTACATCGCCCTTAGCAAATAGTAACGACTTGAAACGGACACTCTTGAAGAATAGTATGGTCTCTATACCAAGACAAGCTTGGTCGCCGCATGAGCCTCAACGAAATGCCACCGTTAGTAGCAACAATACCAACACACATTCTATACCAGTGCCACCGCTTACTGCCGTCTCCAAAACACCTGCAGTGTTGGCGGTGTTAGGCGACCATAATAATGCTGGTAGCACAAACAACAATAATAATATGTTGCTCAACACGAATTCCGTAACGAATGTTGCCATCAATTCGGCGGCAATAGTCACACCCTTTGTCACTTGCAATGGCAATATTGGTCCAAACGGTCCTGCTCTACTTACTCCACTCACCATGTCAGCACCACCGCCATTGGCGGGACTATCTCAATCATCGTCTAATATTTTGACACCCACAGTAGGCGCTGCTTTGTGCTCAAATATGCCAATGAGTGGCAATAACATTAACGTCAGTGGTGGTAGCGGTGTCGTGTCTATATCTCCAGCAGTGGAACTACCTATACCACAAGCAGTAGGCATTTCGAGTAACGTAATCAGCGCGGCTAGCAGCTCCAGTGTAGATATTGTAACAGCTAGTTTAACGTCCATGGTTACGGATGCAATATGCCGAGGTCCACCTAGATTGATGCAACGTCCTAACGGCCCATTGAAATCGGACGGCACGACTATGTTTCCCTCACAAGCGGGACCGGTGTGTCAGACGCTGGTAGAGAATGCGCATAAGGTGAGTGAAATTCAAAGAATATATAAATATTCAACGTAGAGAAGTTGGCTGAGGGTGGTGTAAAAAGTTCTATACTTTCACCAACTATACTAATTCGTACTATTATAAGCATTATTTGTGGTTTTATTTATTATTTAGTTAACGGACTTTTTTATATCCGTCATGGAGGACACCATGTTAGAGATGTCGGAAGGCGATGAATCCGTATTACAAGCTAAAATAACAATACTAAAAATAGAGCTTGAGCGCACCAAGCAAGCGTATGAACAAGAAATTGCCGAACTAAAACGCACCTCCGATTTGATGCTCTCCGAAATGCGTAAAAGTATGGAGAATGAGAAAACTCGTATCTCCAACGAGATACGCAAGCAATGCGAGCAAGAACGTTTGAGATCCATCGAGGAAACTAAAAAGAAGCAGTGGTGTTCAAATTGTGGGCGAGAGGCACAGTTCTATTGCTGCTGGAATACATCGTATTGTGATTATCCCTGCCAACAGATGCATTGGTCGCGTCATTCGGCCACCTGTGCACAGACACGCCCGACCATTGCCAGCGCTAGCGATAGTTTGCCAAAAACCGTTAGTACTATGACGACGACGGTGTCGGCAATGGGTCTACAACAACAACAACAACAGCATGTTGGTTGTGGTAGTAAGAATTCCAATAATAATATGATGGCCGTCACAACAACAACTTCTATGTCTGCATCACCGCAACAGCAATCAACAATGTATAACAAAAGCACAACGAACAACAAAAAGGATAAGCACTGTGCATCAAAAGTAAGTCATTCGCAAACCGCCTCAAATTCGTCTACTCTGGGCAGTTCAGCTACTAGCTCGATTAACTCAATTGCCGCTGCCAATGCTACTGGCGTGGGAGTGGCCTCGGGGACAGCCACGGAGTTACTGAAATTGCCCTCCAACACATATTTGCGCACTGTGCCGCAGTGCGGCAATGCTGGAAAAAATAATAGCGGCGGTGGAAATTTGCGCGGTTCAACGTACTCCGTGCAACGCGTCAATATACCGGTAAATATATTATTATTTTTTTTTTACTTTTGCTCAAGATTACAAAGCGAAGATATGAATTTGGAAAACAACAAACATATTAAAATGTAACTATGCACACTAATTTATTTGTTTTTCTATTCCACACACACTAGCTTCCCATCACTGCACTGGTACAACGCGGCAATAGCTGGGAACTTACCAGCGCAGCTCCCAATAATAATGTGGGCGCTGCGAATATGGCGACAATAACAGCGCCAGGATCGAATGTCACACAGGCGATGACTCAATTAACATCTCAACAACAGCATCATCAACGTATGCTTAGTGGCGGTGGCACTGGAAATATCAGTGGTGGTGTTGGTGGTGGTACATCATCGAATATGTCCGCGTCAAGAAGCAATTCACGAAATCGTGCGGCTGCTGCAGCCTTGCAACAAACAATGACCAACATGCATAGTGCAACCAGTGGAGCGGCAACATCGATGTCTTGTGGCATGCTACGTCCGACGCAGATGTGATGATGAGTCGAGGACGCGTGCTCAAATGCCGGCAATCAAGAAGTAACAGCGTCCACACCAAATGCAATACGAATAAGCAGCAGCTGCAGCAATAGAAACAGCAACAAATGCGTCGGAAAGTTTAAAAAAACTGGAGCTGCATTGCGAGCCAAAACGCCAAGCGCAGTAACAAATGCAACAGCAGCCGCTGCAGTGACAAAGAAGCATTCATTAGCGACAATGATCGAAAGTTCGCCGCTATCCATTACATTTGTGAGGAAATAATGTTATAAGTTGTACGAAGAAAATTAATGAATGCGTCAATGAGATTCTAAAATGGTAAGAAGTGTGTTTGCTTTCAATTGCTTGCCTTCAAGACACAGTTTACAACAATTACAACGAAGTGCTATACACTCAAACATGTTTTCAATTCGATATTTTTGTTTAAGTTTTCCTATTTAACCAAGTAGTTTTAAGATTTATAAATAAAAGTGTTAAGTTTAGTTATTAAAGTAACTGAATTTCAAATGAATATGAAAAAGGAATCAAACATAAATACAGTTAACTGTACTCGAAACGTATGCCTACATCATAAGTTGTATAAATTATAAATTTAAATAAGTTTAAGTAATTTTAAAGTATCGTTCCGTTTGAGAATTGTAACAGTGAACTATATGTAAATATATATAGCAGCATACTTGTATATAAACTTATAGACGTACCGTATATGAATTCATTAAATCATATCTACAAAAATACAAACAAACATAAATGTAAAAAATCACGCAAACACATTTGTATATGATGCATTAAAACATACCCACTTACATCCGGCATACATATGTATGTAGATATACCTATACTTATAGAACCTATACCTACTGAATATAATATATTTATATTATCATACCGTTATTAGCTTTTAATTATGAATATAGCAGATATTTAACTATTTAATAAAAAAACTATAATCAAGAGTCTAAAAATATATAAACTAGGCAGATTGCTTACATATAATAATGATCATATAACAAAATATTATAAAAAACTACAAACTTACAAAAAAAAACAACTATGTTAAAAATCTGTTTTGAGATAACGAAATGTAATTTTAGTTCACATTATGGATTAATTATGCAGCCAGACACATACAATTTATAATCATTTTCGTAATATTGAATCAAGCTTCTTGTATTAACTACTCTTGTTTTTTCTTCACTTTATATGTAAATATATTTAATAGTATTTTATTTGAGTATAGATTATCTATAACGAATGTACACATTTTATTTCGTATGTGTATAGCTATGTATGTATTACTCAGAAGAAACTATTCACAACTGGACTTGAACCTATTTTGAATTCCATAATTTTGCTAAATAATTAAATTAAAATAAAGCGGAAAATATTTTAAATATTAAATAATGTATTTGTAATTATTGCAATATATTTAGATGATTTTTATAAGAATAATAAGAGTATACAGCGTTGAATTCTGATTTTGAAATTTTAAAACTAATTATAATACAAATCTTTGTGAAAAATGCACTCGGCGTACAAATGGAAACATTAAAATTTTTTATTGCTATTATTGTTATACTGAGTTATCAAAATTCTTATTCCAAAAATTTAAGCAAATTAAGCTTCTCTTCAGACCCAATCTATTTGTATATTTTGTATGAGAAAATACATAATTTAAAACAGAACGGCATGCTTTCCATAGACAAAATTATAAATGCCGTTCGCACGACAGTGGGGTCTAAATAACAGGAACGAATCCGGAATTTTATCCGTACAAGGACTATCAACTCGGCACCATGCTTCGAAATTACTATAGTAATATTTTCTCCCGCTACAACAAAAAAACTTAAATTTTTTATTTAACATTTTAGAATAATTTTTTTTTTACATTTTTTAGCTAAAATTAAAAAAATAACACCATTTTTTTAAGAATACCTTTAGCTAACTATATAATTTTTATAAACTAAAACAAATAATGCTGTTAAATCTAAAAACTTTAGTCGATATCCAATTTCTTGAAATTCCCTTGAATGCCGAACAGCTCCGAGGCATTTTTCGGTTTTCCCGGACGCAATTTCTCATTTACTTGATGACGCTTTTCGAATTGCAGCATTTCTTCCCGATTTTCTTTAAGCTTAGCGTAAACGGTTTCTGAAAAGTATACTTGGTTAAATGTAGATTTTATAATTGAGAGAACTCAAACTTATTAAACAATAACAATAGTTTCCATTCCATATAATAATATTTATAACATTTACTACCTCTGAATTGCACACATTCCAACTCATCACCACCGTAATCTTTAGGCAATATAGACTGTGGTACAAATTTATAGAAATCTTCTAGATTATTGTGTATATACAGTATACTGGTTAGCTCTTTCTTCATAAATGGTGTCATCAGTGCCAAAATTTTATCCATAAACGGTACAATATTAATGAAATGGAAACCAATCAAACGTATCGCGGCAGCTTCCTGCAAGAGAGTCATATTTTTTGTTGGAAATCTTGTAAAAAAGAGAGTTTTGAAAACACTCACCTGTAAATAGAAGAGAAACTTTTTCATTTGAAAAATGCCGATGCGTGCCACATGCCCCAAAGTGACACCCTTTAAGTCCATTACCATAATGTGACCCGGACGTATGCCGTCTTCGGACATCCACATGTCAAAAATCATACAATAACTATAATAGGTAGAAATAAAAAAAATTACATTCATTTGCCAGATGTAACGGTTTTAAATCGAACTGTTGTGGTTATGCGAACAGGAGATCTAGATTTGGAAAAGGTTTTTATCACAGTAGTTTATTCGCATATTTAATCCTACTATTATTATACTATAAGTATTATCAAGCTCTTCCAATTTATATTAATAACCCAATGATATGCCACCTTCCGCTCAACCGAAGCAAGGGGCGCAATTCGCATAAGTGCGGAATTAGCCGAGTCCTGAAAGACAAGCGAGTTTTTTAAGCGTCGAGATCTAAAACGGCTCAGCTGCAGAAAAAATATTAGCTGTTGTTGGTTTAAAATGACGTTATAATAAATTTCTACGATTTTATTTATCAGGTGAAAGCAATATAGTCTTTTTAATTTTGCATGGAATAAGAAAGAAAACCATGAAATATGCGGTGGAAAGCTTCGTTTAGCTCAAAATTTGTTCTACAAGATTACTGCTAAAACTGAACTGCGCTGCCGCTGCTGAACTGCGAGCCAGGATATTAAATTTAGCTTCAGACAACAACAAAGAAAATAAAAGAGTCTACATAAATTCGCAGACTTATCAAACTGTGATCGTATACACATCTGTATATATAGATATGAGCCAACTCGTGCATATATAAATTAAGTTGTCGTAAAACATGAAAAGCTATTTTTATGAAGTGTGACACATTAATTGGCTTCAAGCTAAGTATTTTGCACGTCGACTTTCAAGTATGTGTTTTAAAACTATCCATTACTTTTTAAGAAAAAAATGGGAAAATTATATAACCTACACACGGTGTAGGTGACGAACATAAATTATGCATACGGTTTAGAATTTGTACTATGGGCGTCATACTATCCATATTTACGTAAAAAATGCTTGCCCAATTGGATTTCCATCCTTAATGTCCCATGCTCCCTAAGTACGGTTTAAAAATTCTAATTACAATAGGGGTTTTAAACAATATACCGGTAAAGGGTAATCCTAAACGCCGCACAAAGAATGGAAGGAAGAAAATTAGGTTCCCTAGAAATGACTCAGTGGTCCTGGCCTTTACCTGGCCGTAAAACTATCGGTTCTGCGATATAAAGTAATGTAAGTAAGATTAGGCTACCATAAACCAAATTGCAGTGCGTAGCTTTATTTATACATATATATTTTCTACAAGCCGATCGAGTCTTTTGTATGCCAAAAATACCAACATACAATTAATGGAATCTATTTGTTTATTTTTCTTTTTCAAGGATCGGCAGTGACTAAACATTAGCAACATATCTTTGAAATTTTTCGAAAGAACTCTCCAATTTCTGTTTTCAGAGGAAATGTGGTTTTCAAGAATTGGTAGTCCACAGATGTGTCACAAAGCTTTGCCACTTACTCATTCTATATTTATGTACATATTAAAATTATTTTTATTCTCGAATTAGATGTCTTACATAATATATACTTATACATATAAGTATATATGTTAATTCTCAAAGATAACATAATTACGTCTACGATTTGGTATTTTTTCATTGAAACCATGGAGGATTTGTACAAACCCCAAATTGATATTGTTCCGCATTATATAAATTGAAATATACAGTGTATGTCTTCGTTTTGGACTAATGTGAGACTGGTTTATTTCTGATCCAAATTTGAGGATTGACTTCTAGGATATTAACACGTAAAAAATACCAGTTACTTGTATAAAAGAAGGCAGCTAGCTGACTATTTGTATATTGGTTCATATTAGTTCTAACCTAGTTTATGATTAGTTGATTTCACTGCAGGGATGCTAAATCAATTTTTGTACAATTTACTTTAATGTAAGTAGTATAACATACACATATGTATATATAAATTGCAGGGATTCTAATTAAAATTAAAACGTTTGCTGACTTGACATCAACACGCAATTTTTACTAGCTGAACAACGGTTAATTACTAATTAATTTGTAATCTCTCAAATTAACGAGCTAATTTCACTTCATTTGACATATAAATGGATCTAAATTCATAGTCTATGTAAGATGCAGATGTTTTATAATAATATAATATATGTATATGTTTATATATATTTTTTTTAAACTTTACGTGACACATGTTGAGATACATCTCGCATACTTGTATACACGGGCATACTCAAAATATAATTAGTAATTACAACTACGAGACTGGCATAATTAACTTCGTATACTTTGAAATGAACTTTAGAACTCGGCAAATACTGTTATTTTTAATTTACTTTGACATCAGACGATTTATTTGGTTGTTACTGAGTCCGTTGTCGAGCTCAACAAAATAGCGCAAAGTTATCGCAACAAAACCATTTTAGAGTTATTATTGGTATATTAATACTAAACTAGTAATTTGAAGATTATTTGATCAAGGCGTAATGGTAAAAAAGATTTTTCAAATTACTAACCATTTTTAACCACTTATAAGGAAAGTGAAATAATTTTGTTCAGTTATTTTTACAAACCAGTTTTTGAACTATCTTTCGAAAATTTTTCCACACCTCACTTTCTCATACCGATAAAAATCAAGTTCTTGTATGGAAATTTTTTATTTGTGAAGGGTATTCTAGCTTCGGTGTAAGTGAAGCTAAAGGTTTTTCTGATTTTGTTTATCAACTGGTAAATTCAAATATGCAGCGGAAACAATTAATTGGGGAAAACTGTAATTTTAAATGCAATGCTCTATTAGCTATGCTGTTATTGATGTATTTGTTACTACATATGATTTTATATATTGTATTTAGGTATAAGAAATATGTATATTCTAGCAGTGTATGTTTTCGTAGTTGAAAGTGTAATAAATTTAACTAAAGTGAACCGAAAAGCAAATTTGGGAGATTCGCAACGCAATTACAAAACGTTTAACAAAACTTTTAATGCCATTTTAATTACTTTACTTGTTTGAACAAACATAAGTTTTAAAAGTTAATAATGTATAATGTATATATGTAAGTACAAAAAGTAGACTTTTTTTATTAATTGCACCTATTTATATATTAACTATGACAAAATATAAATGTTAGTATTTTCTTTGGATTTTTAACCTTTTTTCATGAAATTGGTTTTAACAGAAATAAATATAGGATAATAAATAATGTGTATTCAATTACTTACAGTTTCATGCAGTCCACAAAATTGAAGTTCGATGCATTTGTATCTGCTAATTTACCGATTATAACGCGATAACCCTCGGGTGTGGTCTGTGGCAATGGGCAAATGGAGCTAAAATAGTGATTCAAAATAAAATATTAACATAAAATTGAAAATGTGTATTTATAAAATATTTATACATTTATTGTTTTGAAAGTAGCCCCCTATTGTCTTCAACCATATATTAGTATGAGTACCTATATTACGTAACATCCGATTACGATAATTATTCGTTGCTCGTCTATGTGGTAGTCAGTAATATTCAGCATCGTGATTTGATTTGATTATTGACAAGTAAAGAGCTTGACAGTGTTATTAGGCTTTTGGAATTCTAAGCATGTGTATACTCCTATAGGAGTGAATTTTCTTAGTGATCTTCGTTCATTAGAAAAGGCAGGATATATCGTATGTGAGATAATAACACAACCGCCATTATCAAAGGAATTACGATGCGCTATCGACGGTGAGGCGATGCTATATTTTCTGTTACGTAGCATGGGTTAGTGGAATCGTAGTCGGCGAGTACTACCACATTGTGTATTATATATGTACATATATGAAAATTTTGTAGACCTTACGAAGCTTTCAGTCCTTTATAGAGTCAAATTACAATACACACATACTTATGTAGAGAAATTTAAACATAACGGTCACTTACACAGTTCTCATGGCCCGCTGCAGCTCTGAGCGCTCACAGTCTAGATTCGTAAAGAAATCATCGCAATGTGTGCGCACCGTTAGATTGGTGTCCAGCACCTGTTTGGCCATTTCCATGCTGTTCATGGAGGCGTGAAAGAAGTGCAGAGCTTCCTCTTCGGACAAATTCTGCATATGCGGTTGGGCGTGTATCCAATTGACGAATTTTCTCATCTCGTCACGTGAGATATCCGGGAAGCGAGCATATTGCTCGTTCAAATCAGCGAGCTTCATAGTATAAGAGTTACTAGTAAAGTTTATTGTTTATTTAGTTGATTATTTAATATTTCGTATTTTTTAGTCTACACAAACACTTTTGCTCATTATCATATACATATGTACTGGGCACTACCAATTTTAAGGACTAAAAACTTTCCTAATCCACGGACAAATTTGTCTAAAGCTCTTTGGCGAATTAGTTGTCTTTGCGCACGCTGCGCTACGAATGAAATGAAAATGTTCCGTACACAAGTTTGAAAGCGAAACTGGTAATTTCGCTGATTGCTATTGTTTTTGAATTGTTGTTGTTGCATGCTACCCTGTTTGTCAGTTGCCTAACTTTTGTTGACTTTCTTATTGCGTTTTATCGGTTTTATTGTTAGTCATGTTGTTGGTTTTGGTGTTGTTACTGTTGTTGCGCAAAAGCTATTACTTGCAAGTAGAAATTTTCATTACGATCATTGCGAATTGCTGTGCACAGTGGTGCCACAGGCTCACATCAAAGTAAAGGCGAGTTCATAAAGCCAAATAATTTTTTTTTGTTGTTTTACAGTCTCTGAAGGAGACATCGGAGTAAATCGATTGAAAAGTACTAATCTTTCAGTGCTGGCTTTTGAAGTTGAAGCTGGAATCTCTATTTGATTATGCCAGTTTATTTTTATATCTATATATATTGTTCTTTTCGCCGCTATACAAATTTTGACGAGTTAAAGCGAGCTTTGTAATAATTACCTCCTTTTGTTCATTTAGCATATACCAGATGTTTGTTTTTTCCACAACTCTAAAAAAATATTTTTTGTTTTATCTCTATTTAATTATGCCAGTGTGTATTTATACCAATTTTTTGTTTTCTTCGTAATTTTTGCAGTTTTGGCGAATCGAATAGAGCTTTTATTAAATTCACTATTAGATTTGGGTGAACATTTTGTATAAAGATCAATAGTCGCTGTGACTCACGGGTTAGTTTTCGAGTATTAAGACCAAGCGCATGTCGATGGAGTTCGAATTACATAAAATTTTACGCTATTTAGGCTGTTGTTCAGAAGACCAAAAGTGTCGCTAACATAAGAGATCCTATTGTTAGTTAAAAACTTTCAAATTTGTTATATTCAAAATCGAAATTTTGTCGAATTCGACACACTGTGCCCTTGCTGCATGAAAATTACTATCCTCCAACTGTCTGTGTGTTTGGTTATATTTTGCGTGTGGCACGTTTCTAAGCGCTTGCAATAAAATGCTTGTGTATGTGTGCGTGTGTGTGCATGCGTGCTGGTGCACACTGATGCACTTTTACATAACTATAAAACATATGTACTTGTAATGTGTATATTGTTTTGATCATATGTTTTTATTGTTATGAAAATTATTAATTTTGCTATTTAATGACACACTGCCACTCACATTTCAATCGAATGCTCCTACTTTATTATTTTTGGAAAATTGTAGTAGATATTAAAATGTAACTAACTATACAAAGTGAGAAGTATAACTATCGAGGATTATAGTTATACCCTGAACATATGAATATAGATAACCATATTAAGTTTGCCACGAAATGTCGAAAACCTTACAAAATGATATAATAAATACAATATAAGAAGCTGCTCATTTGCCGGAACCGCCGAAATCGGACCACTATAGCATATAGCTGCACAAACAAATAATATTTGTATGGAAAAGGTTTTTTATTGGACAAGACATCTTCACGAAATTTAACAGGGATTTTTGCCTAATTCAACGGTATAATCTCTGATCAAATCGTTGCGATCGAACCATTATAGCATATAGCTGCCATAAAAACTAACCGATCAAAATCAACTTATTATATGGAAAACTTTTTTATTTATGAAGGGTATTATAGCTTCGGTGCAACTGAATTTATTGTGTTTTCTTGCTTTTATTTTAGGTTCCTCGCGATATGCAAGTCATTGCACCTGTAAGCAATTAGCAAGAAAGCATTATTTTACATGCGTGCTGTTTTTTCACGCGCGATCAAAATGTACTTTATGATTTACATAGTATATTTGAGGCATATGGCTGATACTTGCGAAATCGGTCGACAACGACTCATATTGCAACTTTATTTCAAAGATAATAAAGCTGTTTTGTTTGAAAAGGAACACAATTCCCAATGATAATAAAATATACTGCAGTGTGTTGTAATATGTAATACAAAATCTTTAAAAATATATATATCTTTAATAATATTATATAGATAAATATCAGAGAGTTGGATTTAAGTATATTCGTGCTGTGTCGCCTTTCTTTTGTGATGCAAACGCTATTTTTCCAAAATAATGATTGATGATTTTTAGTTGATTGTTTTATGGTCTTACTTAATTTACAAATATCCCATTCTCAGAAGGAGCTCTCCGACATAGATATTCAGCTGGCCTTTTGTAAATGTTTTACCATACATTAAAACATCTAAAGTAATGCACTTTTGGACACAACGTGATTTCTACAAAATTTTATAAAGTGTTCGATATGTGAAGATTGTTTTTAAGAACCTCAATATGTATCATATATAAGACTTTACTGTCTTCGAGTATTCTTAAATATGAGCTTTATAGTAGCACGCCAGATCACGGCATTCTAGGCACCTTGAAATAGCATGGGTACAAAACTTCTAATCATAATTATCATATCATACATAAAATTTACGAAAGGAGATGCCAAGCGTGATATGAGCAATTTAATATTAAAATCATACTCGTAAAGAGGGTAAAAAAGATACACAAGAACAGTGTGGAGGATAAGTCATCTGTCCGTAGCCAGGTGTGCAGCCCGTATATAACATAGGTACAACAGGTTGCAGTGAACAATACCGACCTACTGAAACGTTTGGAAGCGGTGTAAAGAAGATGAGTAGACGCAAATAGTTTCTAAATGGCAATTAAAAAGGACGTTGGAACAACCCCGATAAAATGTGAAAAAGAAAATACCTGTACTGATCAAAAGTTAACGTATCGAGGGTTGAACGCTATCGCGAACGCAAGCGAACGTCGCACACAGGTGTCAAAAACGGTCGCGTCAACAGTGACAGTAAATTGAAAAACGTCAGTTACAGAACTGAAGATGTAGCAAAGGAATGGGGTGGGTAAAGCACGCAACCGTGAAGAAGCAATGAAAAATATGAAGTGAAGCAACAGGGTGGAATCACGGCCACGTGACGCTACAGTGGTCTTCATTTGAATACATAATTTTTAAGGTATTCGTAGACGGTTTTTGAATAATTAAAGGTTCCGTTGTTCAACATTTTTACCTTCTTTATTTAACTCCATGCATCGCGTAAACTGACCGTTAGTATCGTCTGATATTTTTTAATATATATCCTTCTTTAGGGTAGGCGCATCGTTCACAGGAAGCCGTTAAAGAGGGTTGCTTCCCCGCAACGTTTCTTCATGCGTGCGCAACAAAGAATAGTTGTATGTGGGTGTGGCACTTGTCGCAAAGTTGTATGCCCGCTCCCAAATTATAAGCATTTAGTGTTTAGATATTTTACGTTTTACATAATACAACGTCTTTTACAACTTATAACGTCTTCTATGCAAGTGCCAAGGGCATGTGCCCGATTTTGGAGCGAAGTTATTAAATATTTATAATATTTTAATGTTAAGCTAATATAGACGGTACATTATAGATCTGATGTTCACATTCAAAAACGAATACTTTAGTGACAGTTCTTTGAAGTTTCGTGGATTGTGTGTTTTAAAATATAATCAAATATTAACATTTCTTCCGTTAGCACTAATTTTTAACATTATACCAGGTTGAATATATTTAGAACTAGAACGTTAAACGAAATTATGCACAACTTGGAAATTATAACTTTTGACAGATGAATGTTTAAAGTTATTAGTCCGATAACGTATTGCTTGGTTATACAATCTAATTAAATTAATCCCCGATCATGTCCTGACAAATTCTCAGACTCCTTTATTTCACACTTAACAGAAGACAAAACAATTATTTTAGACTCGTTCGTAAGACTTTTATACTTCCTTACAGTATACAACCGCGTTTAGCTAATAGGATTTGATCAGAATCTCTTATAGTTGGAATAATTTTCTCCCCTTGCTTTTTATTGTTATAGCAATATGCTTTATTTGAAATTTTGTGTCTGTAGCTCAACTGATTGCATTGCGAGTGATACTCTATCATACAAGTGTACTTATGTATGAGTGTAAATCGAAAACCAATTAAATACTGGCCAGGCATTCTGATAAATACGTAGTCATCGAACCGTCAAGTCAATCCTGTTGCGCATTGCATCCTGTTGTTAAGTCTACCATGAAACAGGATGCCAAAGAGCGTGTAATAGTCGTTTACATGCATACATATAAATATTAGGGTGGAGCGAAACCAAATTTTTTAGCTTGAGGGTAAAATCTGTGGATTATAAAAAAGAAAATTTTTGGATCAAAAAAATATTTTTTTGTTAACATCTAGAGGCCCACTCACTTTTAAAGTAAATTTCGAGTTAAAATTTTTTTTTGACAAAAAAAAATCATTTTTGGTTTAAACTCTTTACATTTATATAAAAATTACCGGATGTGACGGTTTTTGACTGAAAATTTATTTTATCGCTTAAGGAAAGCATGTTGTAGTTAAAGAATTTTTTTAAAACTCCAATAATGACCACAAAATTTTCTTTAAGTTGATAACTTTTAATTCTGCAGAAAGAGCACTCGCCACAGCGTCTAGAACACTTATAAAAAATATAATATATAAAATAAAAATTTTAACTCAAAAATTTATTTTAAAAGTGAGCTTTTAGATGTTAACCAAAAATTTTCTTTTATTATAATCTACAGATTTTACCCTCAGGTTAAGCAAAAAATTATTATTTTTTCGCTCCACCCTAATAAATATTCATATATATCTGAGTATTTGTACTCATATAGCATGTCCACATATAGGTATGCATATAGCTATAGTACCTACTGTGTTATTGTTTATATCAATTGTATTTGAATAAAAGGGGGGTGATGTACTTATAATGTAATAAAATAAATAGTATTCCACATTTTATATAATATATGTAATATCGCTTCAATATCCTATCGCGAATTCTTGCTGCGAATTCAAGAATTTCTACTGCATATATACAAACCTTTCTCCCTGCAAGTGATGAACAATCTATATTTTATGCACGTATAAGCACTCAAATATCTGTAAATATGTATCTGATAATTTCAATAATAGTTATGTAATAATTGTTCGTACCATTTTCAGAAGTAGTTGCTTCTATATATGGTACATGCAACACTTGATTCACAAATAGGGTGGATAACTACCGACAAATAACAAACCGAGCCAGTCAACGCTAGTGGCGGACTAGTAAATACAAAAACGAAATTCAATTTCCTATATCGATATTTGATTGCTTATGATTTTAATATCCGCTTAGAAAAATTATAAACTGCGATACCCTAAAAACATATTATGAGGCAAATAAAGCAGTTAATTGGAAATGTAGTTTAGTTGGGTG